GTAGCTGATATTTTTTTTCGTGCGCGGAAATACATGCTTCAACTGAAGCCACCGATACGCGCCTTTATTAGAACACCCGGTGGAACCGCGGTGGATTACATTACGCGGTTACATTTGCATTAGGCGCGATTATTTACGGTGCGCTATTCGCAAAGGATTTACTCCGCTCCCTCGATTGTTGGCGATGCCGTTTCGCGGCGCAAATGAAGCTTAACGCGCGAACGTCCAATTTGTCGGTGAATTTTTGCGCACAAAGAGAGAGAGACGGAGAGAGAGAGGATTGCCGGTTGTAAATACGGGACGTAACGTCGGACGTTTATGATCACGATACTAGGATTTAAATTTACGACGGTCGGGACGCATAAGCGAAGGAAGCCTCCCTTAACGCTGAGGAATTAACATAATATCGCATTAAGAGCGGCGCGACTTCCCGTTTTACGTCATGTGTCAACTATAATTATAGGCGCCCGCTCCGAGTTCCGATGATATTTGCGAGTATCGATATACACGTACTTTTGTTGCGCGACTCTTTTTCACGCGCGCGTATCGATACTTTTTCCGCTTGGTTCCGCTTTCAAAGTAACTTGTCGCAGATGCGTCGCGCAGTATATCGATTACGTTCTATCAATATACGCGGGGTAGATGCATCAGTGAATGACCGGTCACCGATGCATGACCGTTGAATCTACTCCCTTCCGTGCTCACGCGAGATAAAACACAATTCCGTCTTTACGCACGGAAAGTGAATAAATCTCTTTATCGTTTTTTATCGCGAACGTCGAAAAAAATCCCGCGGATGAAATATAAAAATTTGCATGCACACGTAACATGGACGTATATACATATATATATATATTATTATACACATGCTGCGAATATCATATTAGGTGTGTTGTTCTGCTGACTTTATATATGTAAGGCATTTTCTACACGTATTTAGGCACATGATAGCAATCTAGAGAAATCTAAAAAATATTAATATCTACCACAAGAAGATATAAAATATGTTCGATTAATTTACTGTGTATATATTAATATTTTTATTGTGGTCATTTAATCAGAGAAACTTACAAAATTCTTATATTGTCCCAAGATTACTATGATTTTCAGGGTAAATTCTAACAATAAAAGAAAATTCTCTCAGTATAGAGATATTTCTAAAAATGACTCTAAAATAATTATTCTATCATTTATCGTGCTCTATCATATCGAAAAGTCTTTGTAATGACGTCTTACGAGATAGATAGTTTTTCAAAAATAACCTTAGATAAACTTAATAAACTTAGATTTGTCAGTTTTTTTTTAAGGTATTTTATTTTTACGATATTGACGTACCTACGTCAGGAATTCGAAGGTAAATTTCGGCATAACCGGTATTGTGAGTTCTTCTAACGGTTAACGATTTTCGGAAAAAAAATACAATACACATTGTAAATCTTGCCAGCATATCCAAGGGATTAACGCCCCATTATTTGTGTTCCGTTTGTGTGTTGAGCCATCATAAAATGCAGTTTAGTCATTCAGGCTGCAGGAGACAAAATGTAAAGCCGATAATACAAAAAAAATTTCTTTAGCTAAAATTCTAAATATCTATTTATTAAAAATACAGATTTTTCATACACATCAATTATCAATTTAAGCTGGATTCTTGAAGAGAGAAAGTAATCCGCACTAATCTTATGTAAAAATGGATTTCCGGATTAAATCAGCTGATTTTTTTATATGTTGTAGCTTATGACCTGCGGAACAAAAAATGTAATAGCTGTAAAAATGAATAATGAACAATTACTGCGTTACAGCTAGTCAAACAACTCGCAAAACCCGGGTTTTTCCTGTTTGACTAGTTGTAAATCAATAATTATCTATTATTTAGCTTTGAGTATATTACATTTTTTGTTCAGTAGATCAAAAATTACAACATATGAGAAAACCAGCAGATTTTACTAATCAATGATCAGATATTCAATTTTATATAGAATTAGTGCGAGGTTTTGAATTTATATATAAACTCCTAGATGAAATTAAATCTCGGTAAAATTAACTGGTTTTCATATGCTGTAGCTTATAATTTACTGAACAAAAAATGTAATAGGCTCAAAGCTAAATAATAGACAATTACAACCATGCAGTCATGTATAAAAAAACTCAGGTTTTGCGAGTTGTTTGGCAGACTGTAATTTTCCATTATTTATCTTTGTACCTATTACATCTTTTGTTTAGCAGGTTGTAAGTTACAACACAATATGAAAAAAAATCAGCTGATTTAACCAAAATCCATTTTTACCTAAAATCAATGCGGTGTACCCCATGTAGAAATTTTGTCTGGAAATAATCAGGGGTCCATATAATCTTTTAAAAATATTACTGGAATCCAGATAAAAAATCTAACTAGAACCTGTACAAAGTTTGGGACGCCTAAATCGGACAGGTTCTATCGCAGAATCCGGATGGGCTCAAGATTACGCCCAGAATTTGTAGAAAAATTATTTGGAGTCTAACTAGGACCTATAAATTTTTAAAATATTTGCTTGATTTGTATTATAATTATTTCTATAAGCTAGATTATTTAATCCTGGCCCCATATATAGTTTCATATTTATTCTAATTTGGGAAAAATATGTCAGTGGTAATTTAGAACCCACGCAGATTTTCCGATTATTTTTTTCCTCGATAAAATAAAGATAAATTTCTAAGGTGTATTCTGGACTTAAACATATACCTATTTCAAACTGAATTTTTTTACCTAGGCCCTGTATTTAATCTCGGCAAATCGAGGCAGAGTTCTATACTTGGGACTTTATTTTTCGATTTTTCTAAAGTTGCCATGTATATGTGTCAATACGAATCGCGTGATTAATGCCTGTCGCTTTATCGTCCTATTGTTTTGCGTCACTCTGTATACACGATCGTGTAGAGGTTTGTCGCGACAGTTGACGCGATTGGCCATTCGGAATTTGCTGTTACTTGGCTACCTCGCAATTTGCCACGAAAGTTTTGGCCGTTCGGCGAATAAGCTCGGATTTCCCCGTTCATCAATCGATCGGCTTGACTCATCGCGCGGAATATAAGCGCGCGATGCACATACATACCTACGTATTTATATTCGCATATGAACGTGTATGTACGGTACATATACGGATTACGAGCGCGGGGGCCGACACCGCTACAGGGTGACGCAAAGTTTTGTTAATTTTATTCCGGGCTGAGTCATCGCGACGTGACCTGACAAATTACTCCGAAACAGTTATCCCGTAGCTACTTATTTCCCTGAAACGGATTACTGCAATTTCGCCCGTTCGCATTTATCAGATTTCTATTTATATACTTACGGAGAGAATTTTCTTAGAATTTACTCTGAAAATCATCGTGGGACAATATGGTATTGGAAGAATTTTATAAGTTTCTCGGATAAATATTTACCACAATAAAAAATATTAATATGTACATAATAAAGTTAATCGAACACTGGGGAAAAAATGTTGTTAATGTAACAAGATTTTCTTTCCAGTGAATAAATCTTATATCTTATTGCGCGGTAGATATTAATCAGAGAAATTCTTCCAATACAATTCCATATTGTCCCACGAATACCATAATTTTCAGGATAAATTCTAAGAGAAAATTCTCTGTGTATATTTGTTATAATGTTGGGCAAAATTCGTGGCTAGTTTATCACCACATGTGTTTTACACATGATTGGATATTATTTTCATATTTCATATACATTTATATATATTTAGTTACTGTGCTTATTCATTAATTACTTTCGAAGAGAGATATTTATTCAAGCTATCGATGTAATTAAACAGATTTCCAATGAAAATATGCGTTGATAGTAGGTATTTATTAATTATTATTAATAGATTGCGTTTTTTTATCTTCGAGCAGATTTTTGATATCAATTTCTCTTACAAGTTAAGATTGGGGAACACGAGAAGTCCGTTTTGTCGCAACGACAATGACGAGATTATTATCGTCTCTTTGCGTCAAGGTGCGGTATTTTTTTCCACGACCTGTTCCTAAAGCGACCGGCACGGCCGTGCTACTTGTTTGCACCAGTTTTGTTAAGATCCGACGAGTGTCGAGCCGGTTAACTTAAACGTAACTGTACCTCGTGATACCGTGGATCGTTCGTAATGTTGACCAGCACTATTTCTGACAGTCAGCACTATAATTAGAGCACGTCGCGCACGTTAGATAAATGACGGCAAGAACGATAGAGAAGAAAAGAGGAAGAGAGAATGAGAGAATGAGATGCATGCCGATATGATAAATAGTAGGGAAGAACCTGAGGGGGCGGAATTGAAATCGCGCAATGTTTCCGAGACATTCGGGATAGCGATCGATCGGATGTTTTCGTTCGTTCAGTATTATTCGATCGGCAACTCTGACTATGAGTCACAGATGCATTGTGCAATGCTGCGTATTTGGTTGCGATCGGGGAGAATTGCATGAACTTACAACATGTTACAGCAAAAGAGAAAATATTTCTCGGTTATTACCAGCCAGACGTATTTCCAACTCGCAGTTTGTCCGATATTTTTATTTAATTTATCATTTAAATCAACAAATTGTTTAATATTATATGTTAATATGAAATATAATATAATATTATATTAATATATAAAATTAAATGCTAAAATGTATAAGGTTGTAAGTTTTTTTGATACATATTTTTTTACAATTTTTTTATCTATCTACTATTTATTATTATTATTTTTCATTTTTGCATGGAAGTTTTATTTTTATATTTATATCTAAATTTTATCATACATGAAATATTATTACAATGCAGAGCACACCTCGCGTGTAAGCATAACAGATTAGAAAACTACAGTTTCTGAAACAGTCCTAAAATCGATGGGTTGTTTCGAAACGCTTAATATAATTGCATGATAAGAAGCATGACAAGAGTTCTCAACCATGAAAGTTGAGACTAAAGAAAAGAAAATATTTCTCAATTTAATTAAATAAATCCCAAGAAAATTGTTTGCTTTCAGGTTAAATTTATTGAAAAATTTAGTGAAAAACCCAAGGAAAAAGCGGCGACTTCAATTTACGTAACGAAATACGTGACGATATCTGATGACAGTTTTTTTTTGGAGATTCACTGACTCAAACTGACGTGGACGCAGAACAAGAAGAAGATTTTAAATTATTCATTGGCCCTTACATTTTGTGCTCTCTGATATTTTTTTGTCACCATGGAGTCTAACGATGAAGTTATTATTATTAATGATGATGATGACAATGAGGTTATCATTATTGGCACCAACGAAGATGTGATACTTTTAGAAAACCCTAAAAAAGTAGGATCATTATTCATATATTAAAGTATTCATCTCATTTTAACTTTTAATTGTCACGCAACTTGCTGTCATTTCTTTTCAGTTATTAAATTTTAATTTAAAAAATTTGAAATTTCAAAATATAATAAGTAATAATAAATATAATAATAAATAAAAATTTTTGAATAAAAGAAAAATAATGAAAGAAAAATAAGATTTCTATTTGTAAGATTTTTAAAATAAAAGATTAATAATAAAATAAATACAATATAATAAATAAAAATTAAGACACACACATACACACACACACACACACACACACACACAAATACACACACACACAGAGGGTATTTCAGAAGGAATGATCAGTATTCTAGATGGTTAGGTTATAAAGATACAACGTATTCAAATTTAAGAACAATTATATTTATTAACTTAATTATTATTAATTAATTGAAATTACTGTTTATCAATTAATATTAATTATTCACGTGTATTATAAGCTTACAATTGTATGTAATTATTTCATAGAATTTGGTTTTAAATAAATGTATTCGTTCTTGGAACTGAATACGTTGTATCTTTACAACCGTCCAAAATAGGTCACATGTTTATATAAACCTTTTTGCTGAAAATAATGTATAGAATCATATCCTAGAATGTTGATCATTGCTCCTGGAACACTCTATAGTCGAGAGAGTTATCCTTGTTAACGAGATCCTTTTTGATTATAGGGAATGTATGACATGTTCATCCAAACACAGCAGACGAGTAGCGTCAACGGCAGCAGCAGCAGCAGCAGCAGCAGCAGCAGTAACAACACCGTTCACCATCACAGCAAGAAGCGCAAGTTGGATTACAACGTGAGCCAGCCGGTGATCCAGCACGCATTGGTCCAATCGACCAGCGACTACCAATTGGACAATACCGGTCTGCAACAACGATACTCCGTGAACGGTGCTAATACCGCATTTAGCTCGCTGCACAACAATAATGCGCTGCAGAAGAGTAGTCCGAACCAGCAGACCCTGGTACGAGCCTCGACGATCAAGCTCTTAGATACGTACCAACGCTGTGGCCAGAAGGTTAGTGCCACTTTCCAACTTGCTTTCTATGTCGTCGCATTTGCAAATCGTTCAACCTAGTATCTGCTCTTCGTGTTCAGCGTTAAATTCGGTCTTATCGTATGTTTCACTTTATTCAATATAAAGATTGTATTCAACGTCGAATTACGATGTTGATGAAATCATAGACTTACTAACAATAAGATCAAAGACTTTACTTTCGAACCTAATCGCTATAGCTTGTTTTAGAATCCGCGTTTTGAAAATAATGGTGCAATTTCAGTTGTGCACATTATTCGTACCTAAAACGGCCTTATTTAGCGCTAAATGCGCGGCTTTTGTTTGTTTTCCCTCTTTCAGCATCACGCGTAATCAGCACAATGAGCAAACAATCGCGGCGATATCTCAGTGTCATTTATTTGCAAGTTTCCGACTTTTACCGTAGCTTGTTGTTGTTTCGCCATTGCTCGTATTCTCTCGGGCCAGTTGTTATAAACACACACGTGTAATTACGAGAGCGCGAACAATCGCGGCTATGTCTCTTCCTGCCTTTCTCGCTCAGAGCGTACAGTTACATTTTTTTCCTTCCTAACGTTACGCAGATAGACAGGAAGAACTTTCTTTCACGGTCTCGTCGTACGGTGTCGACTCTTCGGCACTCTGGCGAATAGAACTTAACGACTACTTATTGTCTACTAACTTGACTACTAACCGCTTATTGTCATAACGGCTCGCAGGCTTCAGAGTTAGATTGTTTGACTCCGACTCTTACGTTTGGCAACGAGTCGTGATACTTCTCGCTTCGCGACTGATGATGCCTTCTCTTGCTACAAGCCGGGCGAAAGGGAAAGGCCTGGGGAAGAAGATACTATACAGTTTGCCCGCTGCTCATCCGTCGCAAACTTTATTGCAATGGATATCGTTCAACCATGTCTCGGCAATAATTGTATCATAGCGATCGCTTGCTGTACATAAGATTGACTTAATTAGGGGCGCAGTTCCGTTATAAGTCGCAGTTTTCATGTGAATTTGTTTCCAGTATGCATGAGCAGCTCGTTTGACCCTTCTGTCAATGCATACATTTTCAGTTTTTCATATCCGTATATATAAGGTGGTATACCCGGATACCAACTGCATATTTTGATTTGACGTCTTTTTAAATCAGCTGATGATGATATCGAATATTCTATTTTAATTTCGGAGAAAATGTTCAACATATTTTTAATAATTAAAGTTGCCTCGGATATTCATATTAATTGACAGAAGGGTTAAATTATGCTTAGAACTATATCGTCTAACTTTCCATCTATCTATCTATCTCTCTCTTTCTCTCTCTCTCTTTCTCTCTGTGCTAATATCTCATCTAATAATTGTGTCCCTTGGGTTCGCCTCGCGTCTTATCCGCCTTCGAAGTTTCCAAACTGCATCCTCGCGTTGGCTTTAACTCGACGTCGATTCAATAACATCGGATGGCTTGCACGCTATAATATGTCCTCTCGCTGATTCATCGCGCTCGTCTTCTAACATTCTTGCTTCATGATATACAAACGTCTTGTAATATCTTATTGCTATACGGTATATCGCGCGATCTTTTTGCCGTCTCAATCGTCGCAATCGAGCCACATTTCCGACTTGGCAAATAGGCATATTAAACTAATATTGCGTTCGTTCCTTTTAAACGACCGAGGCCCGATCGAATTTCTTGGCACGCCTGATTCACGATACTTTATAGTTTTATAGCGATCGATAATAATAAATATATGTGTCTGTCCTCGTGGATTTTCGGAACGTTCGATTCGATAATATATTCGTGAAATGCTACGACATCTGAAGGTTAACGAGCTTCTAATTATATACAGCAGGTATCTCAATTTACTTGATGCTCATTAATTTTCCGATTCCAAGAGTAACGACGTACACGCACTTATAACGTCGTAGGAAAATGACGCCTATTACCGGGAACTTATGGATACTACTACAAACAAATGCGCGATACATGTATGTATTTATACGTCATTCTCTGCGCGATCGATTCGAGAATCCTCGTCCCTCGAGAATCGCGGTCTGCGGCTGTAACTGATAAAAGCTGTTTGACAAAAAAAAATTGTTTGTCATCAGACATGAGATTAGTAACATTCGAGCAGGATGCGGTGTCGCTTTAAAAAAAAGATATTAGCTATCATAATTAAATTTTGGATGTACCTATAATATCTATAGTTTATTAACTATTTATATTAAATTTTTTAAATTATTGATTAGATATTTTTAATTACAATGTAAATAATTTCTTAAACTATAACTTAAAAATATTAATTACCGTAGCTAAAATTCAGAAACGATAATTACATTAAATTTCAGGTGTAATATAGGGAGATAAAATTTAGCTGTGATAGCTAACATTTTTTTATGTCGAGATAAAGTTTGTTTTTACCCGGAGGCGAGTGCAAAGTATCGTTGATGGTCCAAGGAGAATCTTCGCATGAATAATTTGCTAATGATTCCTCGAATAAAAATTCTCTTTTTTTTCCTTCTCTAATCAGAAATTGGCTTATTAACGAAATGCATCGACGAAGAACTGCATTCGAATGTACATTTGATCTGCGTAAGGATAATTACAGATAATCACGTTTCGGTTGTCTATCGTTGCTCCGGAGTGTCACGAGTACCGACTTAGATAACGTTTCCGTATGGCGTAGTTAACTATCGATTGCTTTCAAGGCTTCCATTACATATTTCATGCCGACCATTCGTGGACGGAAAGTGCCATGCGGACGCTGAGACACGCGCGTGATGTCTGCGAAATTCTGTAGGCGAGAGCCGGCAATTTCGATGACTATAGCTTCGACGACGACGACGACGATAATGATGATCATAGAGGGATTATTAGCGCGAGATCTCGCGGGGGACGCGTTTCCTCGACGATCCCTTCGATGATCGACGATGTTTCATAGCGCACAAGGATGCACGATATAAATATCCCCCTCTTGGCCCCCACAGTTTGTTAATTAATCTCCAACGATGCGCGAATCACGCAATCGGCGTCGATCGAAGCCCTCTTTTGCGTGGAAAATTTCTGGAATCTCCGTTGCAATCAGGTAATAGTACGTGGTGTGTTTTTGCGTTACATTTGCCACCAGCCTATAAGGTCGAGAGACCTCTCGACTCGTGTCGCTGTCACTGTTCGTCGTTTATTCTCGTTTTGCTCAAATTTGACCCACGAAGCTCTTCGTATTCGACTACGATTTCTTAACGTAAAAAAATTTTTTTATAAGGTATATTCCTCCTACAGAGAAAGACTTGGTCGAGGGAGGGTAATGGTGACGGCCTGGCAGTCCACTCCGCCAACGCGACGAATGCGGTGGGTAGTACTGTAGTGTCGCAGCACCATACCCAACAGCAACAACAGCAGCTGCAGCAACAACAGCAGCAGCAACAGCACAACAAGCAGACGAGCATGACGGCGCATAGCAAGCAAGTGGCCAACGCGGCCAACGGGAACGGCGGTGGCAGCAATCCCCAGGGCGATGGGGATTATCATTTGGTGCAGCATGAAGTCCTCTACTCCATGACTAACCAGTATGAGGTCCTCGAGTTTCTCGGCAGGGGTACTTTCGGACAGGTAAAAACACTTGTAATAATTCAGAATGTATACTCTTGGGAAAAAATCTTGAAAGTCTGTTTTTTTTTTTTTTTTTTTTTTTTTTTTTTTTTTTGCAAAATTTGGGTAGACATTCACAATTGATATTAATTTTGTCTACATATCCGAAACCATAAAAATTGCAATTACGCAGAGATAAATTTCTTGCAGGTTGTAAAATGTTGGAAAAAAGGAACGAACGAAATAGTAGCCATCAAAATTCTAAAGAACCATCCATCGTACGCGCGCCAGGGTCAGATTGAGGTGAGTTACGAAATTAAAAAAAATTACAGAGGAAAACGAAATTATTCATAGTTATGTCCTATATTATAAACTGTAATTTATCATTTACAGGTCTCCATCCTGTCTCGACTTAGTCAGGAAAATGCGGATGAGTTCAATTTCGTGCGCGCCTACGAGTGCTTCCAACACAAATCACATACCTGCTTGGTATTTGAAATGTTGGAGCAGAATCTCTACGATTTCTTGAAGCAGAATAAATTCTCACCTCTACCTCTCAAATACATCAGGCCCATTCTCCAACAAGTATTGACCGCGTTGTTAAAATTAAAGGTAAGCGTTAGACGTTCATTCGATCGATGATGATAATTAACGAGTGCCTGACCAACCTTTTGCCTTTTGCAGCAATTAGGATTGATTCATGCTGATTTGAAACCGGAGAACATTATGCTAGTGGATCCAATGCGTCAACCGTATCGAGTAAAGGTCATCGATTTCGGATCAGCCTCGCATGTGTCGAAAGCAGTCTGTAACACCTATCTACAGTCGCGATATTACCGCGCACCCGAGATCATACTGGGACTTCCGTATTGTGAAGCGATAGATATGTGGTCGCTCGGCTGTGTCGTCGCAGAGCTGTTTTTGGGATGGCCTTTATACCCGGGCAGTTCCGAGTATGATCAAATTCGATATATAAGTCAAACGCAGGGCCTACCGACAGAACATATGTTGAACAACGCTAGCAAGACAACAAAATTCTTTTACCGAGACATGGACAGTGCGTATCTCGATACGTAGAATAATAATATCGAATAGCGAGCGCGAGTTTCTCACAAATTTCGTATATATTTTTAGGCACATATCCATTTTGGCGGTTAAAGACACCGGAAGAACACGAAGCGGAGACTGGTATCAAATCCAAGGAAGCGAGGAAATATATTTTTAACTGCCTTGACGATATCGGTCAGGTTAACGTACCGACTGATTTAGATGGCGGTCAACTCTTGCCAGAGAAAGCAGATAGGAGAGAGTTCATTGACCTCTTGAAGAGGATGCTTACAATGGACCAGGTAGTAATATCTAATTTATGCTTTTGATCGGAAAATGTGATCCTTTCATACATAAGAACTCAATGCAGTATTTTTCTAATACCTGTTTTGTGTTTGGGTTAAAGGAGCGCCGTATAACACCCGGCGAGGCACTGAACCACGCATTTGTCACTCTGGCACACTTAGTCGATTACGCGCACTGTAACAACGTCAAAGCTTCCGTCCAGATGATGGAGGTTTGTAGGCGCGCGGGAGACTTTACCGCGAGTCCTGCGCATCATCAGGCTCCGCCGGCGCCTCAACCACCTCCACCAACGTCTTTAGTAGCCAATTTTGTACCTACTACGAATGGCAGTGCGGTGACTCTCACCTTCAACAACCAATTGACCAATCAAGTGCAGCGATTAGTCAGAGAGCACCGCACCGCGCAAACAGGATACGACAATCTGGTATGTGTTATTTATATATTATATAATTTAATCTTTAATTATATAACATTTTATTAATATAAATTGATGTATATATAATTTATACTTGTTTCCATTTTAGTACCAAATATATAACAGCAGTCGACGGGCAACGCAGTACAGCGGGTCATCTAGCGGATCCAATAGCGGACGAAGTGGCGTGCACGACTTTGCGCATCAGCTGGTGCCTAGTATATTGTGTCCACCGCCCGGTTACCAGACGATGCCAAGTCCTGCAAAGCACGTAGTTGTTGCTCAGGTAAAAAAAAGACAATAGTGACACTATTGCATATGAATAATTAGTGTTTGTTATTAGAATGATTAACTATTGATAATGAATTTGCAGCCACCGCAACCGCAACAGGCCCCTTTGCAAATTCAACCGTCGATTATATCGCAGCAAGCCGTGGCCGCAGCAGCTGCAGCTGCTCAACAACAATACGCTGCGGTTCCCGTGTCTATGGTCGAAACTGGTCGGCAAATGTTGCTCACCGTAAGTAAAATAATATCGCTCTTCATTTCTGAATAATTATAAAATTGTCTAGTCTGTTGACGTACGTTTGTGATCACATCATAGAATGCTGTGCAGACATCTTGGCCTGGTGGAAGTCGTCAGATGGCCGCTATCGTACCGTCGTGGCAGCAACTGCCGCCACAGCATGCAGCCATACAACAACCACTGCTCAGCGATGCCGGTGATTGGGGAAGGCCTCTTATCGTCGATAGTTCTGCTATTCTACAGGTAGCACCTGTCGATAAACTGTTTGTAAGATTTAGCTTTTTTTCCTTTTTTTTGCGTGATATATTATTTATTATTGTCATCTATAATGCAATTCTCACGTTTCACGTATGAAAACTAGAAAATACAATTTTTAACTGATCTCCCTTGTTTTGGGGAAGGATCAGCGGCCGGTATTTCCTGTCACGGAGGTTTACAATGCTAGTGCACTCGTCGAGCATCCTTCACAGAGCTGGGGCAAGCGTACCGTCACCAAACATCATCAACATCACGTTACGGTACCACAGCAGACTCAGCATAGACACGAACATAAGAAAGAGACGCAACAGTTGAGTCCTGTGAAGAAGAGAGTCAAAGAGAGTACACCACCCAGTAGTATGCGACGACACTCGCCGACGTCGAGCAGTCATTGGCAGGAACAGGCGGTGCAATCCCATCATCATAGTAGCAAGCACAGCAGTAGTCACAATGTGGAACATCAACCAATCGCATCCGTGCGACAGCAGACCATCACAATTGATGATACGCCTTCTCCAGCCGTTTCCGTTATCACGATTAGTGATAGTGAAGATGAGGCGCCTGGAAAATGGTGAGTGTGCGCCAAATGTAGTATAGCCTGCATCCAGTAATTTAAATAGTAGTATATTCAGAGATTCGATAAAACATGCACACGAGTTTGATAATTTCGTAGAATTCAGATTTAGAAATAGATGTCTGATAATCATGTTCCTTCGTCAATAAGTAAAACGCGATAATCGAAATTTTTTTAATCTGTAGCATAGAAGTTTGTATTTACTGCAATTATACCCAAATCTACCCAATCAAATTGACGAATTGGTAAATTAAAATAAGATTTAGAAAATTAGAATGTATTGAAATTGAATAGAAAAAAAGTAGACTAAAAATTGCATTTTGTGCATCTCTAACATCGTGAACTGATTATCGGTTTTGTAAAAAATATGATTAAGCACGCTTATATCTGTTAGCGCATTATCAGTTGATAGTAGAATCACGCATGATATCATTGACAGCTGCGGAGACCGTCAGTGCAGCGCCTGTCAAAGTTTGGCAACTCGCCTGTCGGGCGACGGACGTCCTGTCCGTGAAGAAGTCATACGAAGGTATATTAATGTAATGTGCCGTTAAGGGTGTTATGTGATTAACGATAATTAATTAAGTTAACAAATTGAATGTCTTGACAAAATTGATTTCTTATTTTCAAAATTGAGCTTTAATTTAAAAAATCTATTTTAAGGAAAAACCTTTTAATTTATCTATTATATTTTTTAATCACATATATTTTAAATTTTCTAAAATTACTCTGATGTAATACACGGGTGTACTTAGGGACCTGGTTACGGAGCTTGGCGTGAAACCACTATCGACTAACACGAAATCAGAATCTTTCAGTACAAAGAAATATCGTTGCAAATTAGCATGTAATATTTCGCGCACGGATGCAATGTTAACTTGCCGATGGACAGAGCACGCAACGACGACATCCCGATGATTCGGAATAAAGAGATCTCTTCTGCTTGCAGCACTCAGTCGACGCCGCGCGTTGTGCAAATGCAGCAGTCAACGCACACGAACAGTCAGCAACACTCGAACGGCCACGTTTCGCATAGCAGCAGCTCGTCGTCACATCGAGCGCAACGCAAGAACGTCATCAGCTGTGTCACCGTCGGCGACAGCGACGGCGAAGCTAGTCCAAGCCGTACGCACGCTCATTTATATCAGCATCTGCCACAACATCCGCAGCATCAACAGACCACACAGTTGATCAAGCACGAGCCGCAACAGCAACATCACGTTAGCAGGTGAGAATATGGAGGATGTGGTAATAATAAGGTATGGAGAGGGACTTTTCGTTAGAATTCTTTTTTAAAACCTTGTTTTTAAAATCATCTATTTTTTTCAATTATTGTTCTGTTTTATACTCTGATCTGACGTTCGTTAACAAGATAAAGTACTCCGTACTAATCTTATGTGAAATTGATTTTTATTGAATTAGCTGGTTTTTTCATACGTTGTAGCTTATAATTTGCTGAACAAAAGACTCAATGGCTAAATAATGGACAATTATTGAATTACAGACAGTCAAAGCAGTTCGCATAGCTCGAATTTTTCATGTTTGACTGATTGTAAATCTGTCTATTATTTAGCTCTGAGCCTATTACATTTTTTGTTCAGTAGATTGTAAGCTGCAAGATATGATAAAACTAACTGATTTTATTCAATTTCATCTAGGACTTTATATAAATTCCAAAATTACGCACTGATTTTATATAAAATTGAATCTTAGTAAAATCTGCTGGTTTTCTCATATGTTGTAGCTTAAAATGAGTCGGGAAGGCTTTGCAGCTTATATTTTTAATTATACATTAAAAAATAAATTAAAAGTTGCTTTGATTACGATTTTGAATAAACAATATTATTATTAATAATGAAATAATTTATAATTTATCGTTTTGTTTATATGTATTACTCTCTCTTCTAATAAATATTTGATCAACTTGTAGCAGTAGTTCAGGATACTCTTCTCAGTCACAAAAGAAGCGGCTGTTGGCAAAGGTGCAGTCTGAGTGCAATATGGTGAACGTTGCAACTAAACCGGAACCCGGTGTCGAGTATCTTGCTCCTCATCCGTGTCACGCGCCAGCTTGCAAAGAGCCACCGACCTATCAGGTTAATTAACAATTTCTATTCAATCGATTTTACGTTAAATTTATTTCGATTCTCTTATTTGCAATTCATTGTCCATCCATTCATCCATAGTACTTTGCGAAACATCCGTCAAAGGAAGAGAGGGAGGGAGAAAAAGAAGTTGCTGAGTCGCATCTCCGCGCTATTAGAGTACTTTTTGTTCTTTTTTAGTAATTTTCTTTGGGTAATATCTGTTTTCTAGGATGACGTCTATGACATGCATGACCACTTCTTGCAGTATGTGACCACGAGCAGCGCGCATCCTCATCTTCAAGAGCAGCATATCGTGTATACGACCGGCACGGATAAACGAGTATCCTGGCCTGGAAAACGGGCTGAATACAAGCACGAATACGTTCAACCACCGGCGGCACACTCTCGAGACCATCAAAAGTGGGTGGTGGCCAATCCTGTGCATCAATATAGGTAAGAATCTTCTTCTTCGACGTTATTCGTATCTTTAATCGAGGTATTATGATTACGAGAGATCTCTTTTACGATTAAATAGATATATAAGATAATAAGCATAAATAGAACACGTATATAAGGAGAGATAGATGTTGTTTTGCGATTTGTAGGCAAAGCCAGGTAGTAGGTACGGCGGCCCATCCGAGTCATACCCACAGTCATCATGGGCATCCGACTCATCTGAGCCCAGGCGGCAGTGGTGGCGGCAGAAGTCCCGCTGGCGGGCCCGTGATAGGAAGTGCCCAGCATTTGGGGCAACCTCTCTATCAGGAATACGCTCACGTGCGCTCGAGAGCGGTGCCACCTCCCGTATACGTTACCGCTGCGCCTTCGCAGGCTGCTACCGCTATTCAGCAGCAACAAGTGCCCACCTATCAGGGATTCACACCCGGGTGGGTAATTGAGAAAATTAAGTTGATGAGCACGCATGCCTCTTTTACTATCTACGATATCTTTGTTCTAGCATTCATTATTAGCTCTGATATTAACTGTTTAAACTCTTTATAATAAAAAAAATTAAGTATACATATAAGTATTAATTGAACAGTTGATAAAATAGTCGAACTGTTTTACATTTCCCGAGTTTATTCTCAAAAGTACATGCTCCTGAGTCAATCTATATAGATATATTATAAGAAAAACTTATCATTTCTTTTTTTAGAGCTTTGTGATGACTTTCTAATGTGCGTTATCCCGTTTTTTACAGCTCGTCTCCATTAACGTTGTATGATTCTAGTCGAGCGTTGCCACCGCCAGCTCATCACAGCTCGGCCAGACCGTTACTGGCAAGTCACGCAGCACATCCGTTGCCTGCGCATATGCAGCCTACAGCTGTTTACGGATTGGCTCCGTTATCACCAGCCAAACACCAATATCAAGCTCCCAGTTTATGGTTCACCGAATAAATTATTCGAATATATCCATGTCGTGAATAAAGAGTACGTCGAAATGTACGAAAGCGAAATGTAATAAGTAATCGCACGAATGTTTCTGGGAACTTACGAGCCGCTTGTACCAATCAGCGTGAACGCGTAATCGATTAATGCATAAATTGTAACAGAAAGAGAGAGAGAGAGAGAGAAAAAGAAAGAAAAAAAGCGTGCACATTTTTCACATTTTTTGTGCACTTGGCCAGTAAAAACGGAGCGGGGTGGGAGCGTCCGAACTGTTGCAATTTACGAATACGAATATCGATATTGTGCATACACTTATTGTACTTGGAATTTACGATTGAGCAAGTTTTTGCCGAACGAAAAAGCAGTAGAGAGCAGTAGAGATGTGTTTAAAGATAAAAATTTTTGACAATCCGTCCTATATATATATATATATATGTATAAGCAGCGACCACTCCCTTTCGACTCCCCGCTCTCTCATAGAAAACGAAACGCTAGATCAGTGTAATTAGATCTCTTTGTATATGTTTGTTACGCCTCTTATGTGTTAGAAATAATCCTATCGCGACAAATTCATAAGAAGATCGTAAATGGAACAGGATTATCCTACTTTGACACGCGATTATACATAAACATAAACAGAAATCTCATTACAACTTTTCTTTCTTTTTTGTTCAATTCGAAGAGATATATATATATATACATATATATATATATCTCGGCGTATGCGGCATGCTGTATCAAAGTTTCGTAAGTTTCCAGAGATTTACCGAAGTTTTATTACGAGAAGTAAGGTTTATAAGGACATTGCGTGTACAGACCAAAATTTTCTATCGAGATGTCCGGATCTATTTAACGTTCACATGCCCACAGTTTCCCCCCTCTATTGTAAATATACATATATATAAATATATATACATATATATAAAACTAGCACGTAACATTAAATAGATCGGGAGCATCGATATTGAGACGATAGAAATATTTGTACGTGAAATTCAGCGTCATGCCGAATTTCACGTGCGCGTGAAAACTGTGAAACAAAAATATTGTTCATATATACGATTTATATTTGCGATTTAATTTAAAATACGAATGAGAGTCTGCATTTCTTTACGATATGTCGAGGAAACATATCGCGCGCGCGAGTATCTTATTTTTAATGCTCTTTAACAGAATCATTTTTAGCGAACTTTATATATCTGTATATATATATATATTTTTTTTGTCTCGATCGTTGCCACTAGCGATCGCAATTTCGTTCTTGTTCGTGGGATGTTTGATTGTATTAAGAAAATATTTCGCTACGGGATATAGTGTGCTGTAGTCTTTTATGATATTTTATTCATAACGGGTACTCAAAACTAACGAGGTAACCATATTATTCTTCGTAGTTTGCAGCGTGTTACTCACAAGTATACGTTAATACACACATACACCCATATATTATTTAGTTGTACTATATATTCGGAATTTCAGATAGATATAGATATTCAAGTATATAGAGAATTATTCGGGTTGTCGTAAGTGTAGGAATATTCGTCAAAAAAAAATAATATTACACGCAAGAAATTTAGATTCAAGTCACGAATTTATTAAGATGATTACGCGACATCCGAATTGACGAAAGCTTTGACGTGCCTTTTTTGGAACAGTCCTATAATATTATTTATTTTATTATTACGTTATTATTTTCAATCGTTTATTTTCATCGTCAAACGTCATCTTTATCGCTCTATAGTGTTTCATTATCATACCCATCATCATTGCTACTAATCGTCATTGTTCTCATGCCTAATATTTTGTTCTAAATTGTATAAATAGCGTGTTATGGGCAATCTGCCTTAAGTTTATGGTCTAAAACACGAAATAGTGACCATAGTTTTGAAAGAATTATGAATTGTATATAGGTTTAATGACTTCTCTCGCTAATATTTCTTTCTCTAGCAATCCTTTGCATTTTGGCTGAGGCTGTATTGTAAAAAGAATGTAACAAGTACATTGCACAAATCACACAGCGATGAAAAAGAAAGATATTGGAGAAAGCGATAGCTTCTATTTCCACAGTAGAGTCGAGAGATTTTTTCGAATATCGAGAGGGAAAGAAAAAGGCAAAAACGCATCCTATATGAAAGAAATGCCAAACAGCAATAAAGTATAATAACGGATCTTATATTAAAGAATTTCTCACGGATATCACAAATCGTATATTGCATACATTTCCGCATACATAGATTTTCTTTTTTCTATTATTGTAATGATGTTTAGAAAGAGAGTGAGAGAGATAAAGAGAAAATGAGAGAGAGAGAGAGAGGTTTTTAGAAGTAGAGTTTTCATGAAACTAGTTTTCACAATTCCGTTCTTCTCATCGAATCACGTTCTTCCTCGTTGCATTTTCTACGTCAGTATCTAAACTAAAGTCAGCATCTTGCATTAATGATTTTTATTTTACTTGTAGAAAATAGAATATCATCGTTCTCTCAGGCAGTATCGTCGACGCGATACGCGATCTTGTTTAGGTATCGCGTCATTTTACGCAACTGCTAAAATACATGTATTTCGTGATTTTATGGAATAACGCTTAAGCATTGTTTTGCTCTAATTCTCTATCGATAAATAAATGTATAAAGTGGTGTAATATTCAGCATATATGGGATTAATTGCGGTATGTTGTTTAGAGTGATTCACGTCCAGAGTTTAATTAGAGATATTTTACACGTAGAGAGAAAAAGAGAATGTATGTATGTGTGTGTATGTATGTATGAAAGAGAGAAAAGAAAAGGAAGGAAAAAATTACAGAGTATAATAGATAAATGAATATATATAAGTGTAGTGTAGGGTGTAACGAAGTTTTAAACACATGTTACCGGTATCATGAGAAGAGAAACCCTTTTACGCGATACAATAAGTAAGCGACAAACAATATATACAGCTGCAATTTAACTATATATATATGTGTATATATATATATATATATATATATATATATATACTATATTTAACTTATAGAGCAGGGCCGTTTCGGCTATCGGGTCCATGATAGCCTCGCAAATCTCTCGAGTGCCTTTATATCGAGAGGCATCATATATGAATCGATGTAAATCTGTAAACGACTCGTCGGACTCGTTTTGGTTAAAAGAGCGACGTCTATAGACCTCTTCTTTTTCATTTCTCTTCTTTTGCACCTCCTTATTTCTACAGTTACAACGCAGTTTGTCCCTCCCTTGTCTTAAGGTCTTATAAGCGATTTGCCCGATATCCCCTTTTTCGTATACGCATCGATACGTTTACATTGTACGAAAAAAAAAAAAGAAATATTTAATCAACTCGATGTGCCTGTTTAACGAATAATCGTATTTACACTGGGTAATTAATTAACTGTAATGGGAAAAGAGAAAGGGATATAAGAGTAGAATTGGGAAGTCGTTTTTTCTTTTTCTTCGATATAGACTGAACGCGCTAGCGCGTTACAATCATCGTGTAAAGCTACGTTACGTGAGTTGACATCCAATTCTTGGGTTTCGACGTAACCGAGTCTGTTCACGCCTACAATATTGTATATGTATATACATACATACATACATACATACATACATGCTTCCACATATAACAGTATAGAGAGAGATACTCGCGTCGCATTAATTAAAAAAAAAAAACTACCATATACCCTTCTCCATGTGAGAGTCGTGAGAGAAAAAAAGAGTCATATCCTTAGGTTTCATCCCCTATACACATATATGTGCGTGAGTTGTAATAATAGTCATAGCACGCGTAGAGTGATAAGTTTTTTTCTCATTTCACATCTTCTTTTTCGTATATACTTTGTATACGAAATCATTAGATCGACAGACTTTTTCAGTCACGTTTCTCTCATTCCACTTCACGAGCAAGTCTTGACTGACGATTATAGGATTTCGATTATCGGGATTATAAGAGATGAACATGGATGAAACGTTGCAATTATTATTATAGATCTCGCTAAAGTGTTATTTTTTTCAGGAAGGGGAGGGATTTTATTGAACAAAAGGGTAGAGAGTAGAAATCTTTAGGGGTGACATATCGACATTTTAATGGGTACAAAAAAATACACGCGGACCACTATAATAGGTCGATTTGAGTTTTTTCGTTGTTGCATTTCGGATATGGTCTGTATAATTTTTCCGGTCGTCGGTCAAAGCATGCTTACATTCATTTCAGAGCATTACATGTTGCTAATTAAAAACAGACATACACACAAACACAGACACACGCATAACTACACGTAATAAGCTATCTAAATAAAAAGAAGTAGAGACGCTATAAAACGCTGTGTGAAAAATTAAGTAAAAGATACCGTAATTGTATCAATGGTTCTAGTTGTGATATTTTATTATAATGCTGATATATTATATGTATATATTTGTGCGCAATTAACTTTGAGCGGGTTTCCTCGCGTGCCCGACGTATATATCGCGAGATATAAAGCATAGTAGAGAAGTTGTATCTTAATCTTAACATATTAATTATGCGGAAGAAGGGGAGGGAGGAGATTATACGTTGTTGCGGTAAATAATCCATGATGGTCGTTATATGTTATTTGGTGATTTTGCGAACAATTTTTTAAATTTCCAATTCTAAATCATATCGTACAGATTTTCACGATCTTTTTTCTTTCATCTTATCGGAGTATCATTCAAAATGTATCAAAATTTAATATTGTGATTTTTGAAATTAATTCGTTATTTGTTACAAGTGTAAAATTGCTAAATTTCTTAAATTGGAGATATAAATCTGATTTATGTATAACTAGATCTTTGAACAAAAAAAAACTGAAAAGTAATATAATTATTTAAACATTTACATAATTGCGCGCAACTGTAACAGTTACTCCTTTTGTTTGGATAAAGTATGATAATAACATTAAGATATAAGTATCTAGTTCTTTTGATCGTTTTTGAATATGTACATACGTTTCTTATTATATCCGAGGGTTGGGGGGTGTGATATATTAGTCTTAGGTGTAGTGCCTAAAGTGATGAGATTGTGTGTCTGATAATAAGATTTATTTAGCATGGAATCTTCGAAGTTAGTCCTGCATCGGTTCAGGAAGAATTCACTGGATCGCGAATGATTGCCAGGAAACAAGTGTTATTTATATTAAAATTATTCAATTAAACAAATTGATGGTTTTAATATTAATAAACCTTTGTCGGGACGAGAAAAAGATAGGGATGAAAAAGCGCGACTAATATTTCTTATGCATTGGGGCTGCAGATTATTTATTAAAGTCACTGCAAAATCGGGAAACGCTTAGATGTGCTTAGCGTGGGAAGAATATTTGTGGTCAAATGTAAAGAAAACAAGAAAAAAAGAAAATAGGATAAGGGGGAAGGCTTACAATTTTTCATTGTTAGGACTGTAATATTCATCGCGTTGTACGGGATAGTTTGTATAAAATTATGTTATCACTGTAAACAAAAAGTAACACTGACTCTCTCTCACGAGAGAGAGAGAAAGAGAAAGAGAGGTAGATATGTAGCTATATATATATAATATATAGGAAAGAATAACATATTTTTGGAGTTAATAGAGGATTGATATTGTACTGTGCTCCGTAAATTATTGAACATTTCTCTTTCTTAGGTTCTCCATTTGCTACGTTGCTCGTCGTAATCGGACCACATTTGCAAGTATAGACAATTGTTAGCTAAACAACTTCCGGTTAATATCTACAAATCTACTTGAACATGTATTTGAGTAAATATTTCTCGAAACATTTGTATTAATATTTAAAATATATATATATGTAAATTATTTATTACTACGTTTACATGTCAAATTTAGAAGAGCGTAACATTTTCGACGTGAGAATGAAAAGTCTTTAGAAAGGGAAAAAGAAACGGCGATCCCATATACGTTTAAGGGAGCTTGACATCTTTCGATCTAAAGCAGAAAATATAATTATCAAAGTTGACTTAGACTCCAGAGAGTTCTAAAGTTGTCATTACTAGAATAAATGAAGTCCGATTAGAGAAGCAAAGATAGATAGTTTATCGCGCGCGGGTAATTAATATATAATAATAAGATATAGGAACTACGAGATTCACCCTATCTGACTGTTCTTCGATGTTCTTAATGTTCACTATTATACTATGGTAATATATATCTATGTATAACGGCAAATAATAATTAACGGTGGGACTTGTACTATATATATATATATACACACGTTTATCGAGATTTACGCATAATAATGTATTATAAAAAAATTAGTCATAGGTGAAGAGAAAGAGAGATAGTATCTTCGTATATATAGACACATCACTGTTTAGATTCTCTGGCCGTTTCACCTACGTGTGGCTGATAGAGGCAATTAAAAATTAGAGGCGTGTCTCTTTTTTTAGTACAGAAAATATTTCTCTCCATGAGTCGGTAGTAAATTTGATGTTTTACAAATCGAACGTATTTTAGAACTCTTTCTTCCTAACTTAACATAGAGGACGATCCAGTCGCAGACTCTTTATTATAGTCTTCGGATCGCTTGTATGCATTGGACCAGACAGAAATCAATTGTTATTCGTATTTGTGAAATCAAAAAAGAAAGCTAGAGAGAGATAGAGAGGGAGGCGTGCGTAATTAGGAGACTTTTTTACAGACGCAGGCCGTTTTTGCTCTTTCGAGTCTCTTTTTTGGTACGTAGACACGTTTGAAGGGACCGAAGCGTCGTCGTCTCTTTTAAAAGTATCCAGCAAAACACTCTTCGTATATTTAATTACATCTCGTCTAGTGAAAGTATAAGTGGGCAGTATTTAGTTCTTCGCTATATATTCATGACACAATTTTCGTAGTCATTAAAAAACACGAGATAATCAACGTAACGCAGGGAAGACGAAACTTTAGCAGAGGTGCGAAAATGTCCGTCTAAATCCTGGGACTTTATATTTTATAAGTCGAATACTTGCATTAATATTGTCTCGATAAAATATATCGCTACGCTACGTATTTGTACCGCGTGTTAAATGAACGTCTCTTTTACGTGTATTTCAATTGTACCATGATAGTGTATGATGATAGTAGTGATGACACAAGTTGCATAATTATCGGTGCATCGGTTTTCACGATATCCTGATTACAAATATCGTCTATTTGGATTATATCGTATGAATTCTCCAATTAAAATATGGATCAATTAGGTTCTCTCGACACGTATTCCATAATCTTTCCAGTTTATAAATTTGTTTTTTTTTACTCTAGCTAATTATCATCCTATCATTTAAGTTCACGAAAATATTTAGGCTGCTTGTATTAATGTATCGCATTTAATGCTGAGTCTGATTCTTGCTTATTTATATACGAGAAAAATCTTCATTAGCTTCATCATCCCGCGTGATCATTTTTATATATCATAAACGCGAACCTCAATTGTCAAATAATAATATCGCACATAATTTTTTACATCGAGATTGTTCATTCTGTTTAACTTCTTTCGAGAAAGAATTTTCATAGCGTTGCCTTATTAATGACTTATTGTCGATATAATATGATAATCATTAAAACGCGACATTCATACGTATTGCCGAGTAAATTAATCGTTAAAGTCATCGATATTAATATACTATCTGCCAAATCTCTTTCTCGTATGAACAAAAACACATCACACAATTATATATCACGAAGGATCTAGGCGCGGAGATTTTTAGAAGCGGTTCCAGGAAAACAAATTCGCGAAAAATTATCATTCAATCTAATCGTCATAATAATTACCGGTATTTCTATCTTAGATTCGCGCATGGATCTTTCTTTTACACTTCTTATACACGCATACGCCAAGAATATAAGTAACCCCGACTTATCGTCCAAAGTGGCGAGTAAAGTGAAGTTTCTAAAGTACGATTATTAAGTGTATAGAGTGTTTTTAAGCTTTCGCAAGAAATCTCTTAAGTATTGTATTGTAATCGTTGGCTGAGCCAAAAAAATATCTCCGCTTATGCATATGTGGTCCCTTTTGCGGATTCGTTCTGTCAATATATACAGACACGTGGTTAATATCTAAGTACGGATAGCCGACGAACAATTAATCGTTTCGAGTCGCTTCGGTACAGATATGCATCGCGTAATGCAATAAGATGTTAATGTCGTTTGATTGTCATTCTTTTCCACTTGGCGATGAAACGTGGTTTTATGTAATTTTGTTGTCTCGGAACTGACATTAAATCATCTCTTTTATATTAGAAGTACGATAAATTTTCATCGCAAGCTCTTTCTCTTTCTAAAAAGCTATTCTATTCTTGATCTGTTAATGTAAAAAAATATTTCATACGTTTTAATTTGTTGATTAATATGTATAAAATATCGATTGCAGTTGTAAAATTTCTTTATATATATTTTTTGGCAGTTTATTTTTCATTGCGTGGTTTATTGAAAAATAACTCTCTGATTGAAGAAAAAAAATATATAAAAATCATTGACGTGTGTGCGTGTGGATATGTGCAAATACAACGCAAGTTAAAGCAACATAGAACAGTGTCTTTAGCAAGAATATATAGTTACTATTACAAAGTAAAAAAAAATTCTAATTAAAAGATTTAGAGTAGACTTAGATAGAGCGTGCCTTGCGTTATTCGTGACACCGACATCACTGGATGTCACTTCTTCGGGATCCGTATCGTACTAATCCGTACTTAGATATTTGACAAGTATGCATTTTATATATATATGTTTATTTGTATATAAAATATATGTATAAAATGTACACGTATACACATCTCTACATATATAGATGCCTAGATAATAGTTAACATATGCATAGATAGATACACACATACCTGCATATATATATATTATAAATATTACATCCATATATTATAAATAATATTCATATTATGTAACAAAAAAGCTTATGTACCGTGCGACGGATTATTCCGGAGGTCGACCAGAGTACAAAGCGTAGATTTAGTTTGGCCTCGGAAATAGTCTGCGCACGTAGTCGAATCGATGTCATCGACAAATGTTAGAATATCGAAACATATATTTAACAACAACAAAAAAATACGCGTAGAGAAAAAAACCGCCGACCGCCACATTGTTTAATATCGTCGCATCGATTGAGAATTGAGAGATTGCCGTCTATTTTACTGACAATAAATGAAACTTACGGCGGATCGGAACGAACAAAACTTCTCTGGAGAGCTATTATGTATTATATAAATATTTAGAATCCGATTGAAAAAAAATCCGTTTTTCATCACATTTAATTATAAAAACGCGAACAATATTTGAAATGATCGGAATGAAATTAGCATAGGAAAATTATTATTGACAACCAAAGTGTGAATAATTAAAAAATTAAAATTTTCAATCAAAAATCGTAAGCAAGTTACATAATGGCTCTCCTGACAAAGATTCGAATTTGGATGCGTTTGTTTTTTTTTCTGTAATAATAATGATTAAACGAAGGATAATTGGATTCGTGCGATGAATCTAACATTGATAACATCTGGCAAATGAGATTATCGAAAAAAAGGGAAATTTTGTATAAAGAGAAAATTCCTGGTTCTCGATCGACGGGACGATCAACATTTGGCAAATTACACCGAACGTATATCTATAACATAAGCTATTAAAAATTCTAATCTCGTGATGCAGCTCGTGACTGTCGAAGGAGAGGAGGAAGAAAGGGCGTAATGAAAAATGTAAAAAAAAAGAAAGAAGATAGATCGTCCAGTGATTCTTCATGGAATCCTTCGGCAGTCACGATCTCGTCGCTTTTTCCGATTAATAGGGATTATAATAATCGGTGACGACTTACTTAATAACGACTACAGAGAGTGTTTCTGAATTTTTTAAGTCGACGCATCGACACTAAGGTGCATATATCCTGCGGGCGCAAGAAGTCTATTTGATATTTATATTTTAATACACACACACACACACACACACACTCGAGCCGATTATATTTAGTGTATTGTAATTATCGAATATATTGATTAACCGTCCCCGGGCGTTCGTTCCGGAAGTTCCGGGAGATGGAAGTACAGAGGGAAAAAAAAAAGAAACAGGAGCGCGAGCCACGATTTTTCTGTATATTACTGTAGTATAATAATCAAACACTAAAGACTAATGCTTAAGGTGAGCGATGGAGGCTCCGTGATAATTCGGAGTCGCAGTAGGTACATGTATGTATTCGCGAATTATTATGCAACATAAACGACACACGTCGGAGAGGAAAAAAGAAAGAGAGGAAAGATTAGGAGAAAAAAAAACGCATTTGACTAATTAACAGAGATCGGGTATACGCAGCGATATACAACAGACGTCACTGTGTCTTAGCTCGTAAAAACAAAAAATAATAAATGCGGATGTTCGCGCATCGTTCGCGAACAATCTGTGAACTGAGTTGAGTAGTATTAAGCGCACTCTTATTTTTTCTTCTTCTAAAAAAAAAACACTCCTTAATTTGCGTATTCGACAACTCCCGTGTCCATCAATAATATTCAGCTCGAACCAACGAAAGTAATCTCCTGTAAACTATTATTCCACTATTACTTCCTGCGTCTTTCCGTTTCATATAAAAATAATTGTTGCCGATCCATTTTGCTGAGTTGAGTTATATAAGCGCACTTTTTGTTTATTTAATAATATTTAATCGCACTACTGAACTGTCGATATTCTAAAGCATCGAGAACATTTTGTGTGTATTTAGAAAATTACATGTCTCGTGTCTCTTATTTTCTGCGTAAGATTCTTCGATCTTTTGCGATGAAAGAAAGAGCTTTTCCCAACAAGTGGAAAGGCGGCCATTTTCTTATACAAGTGTGATTTTTTTATATTAATCTCTTTTATATTTAATATCGGTTTCGCTCAGTTTTAAACGAGAAAACCGGGACGGAGTGAATCGAAGTTCGAGCTTGGCGTGCAATTGTGAAATCTTTGATTTGCTCCAAAACGTAAACGTCAATTATCCCGATATTTGCGACTCTTGGTCAAAGGAGAACTGAAGAAAAAAAATAGCAATTACTAACATACATATACGCCTAAGTCAGCTTGTCGCGCCTGTAAAAAATCGACTGTTCACATTTTGCTGGATATTATCAGGTAGCAGCATAGCAACGCAGCGATTTCGGAATGGAGGGGCAAGAAAGAAAGAAAGAAAGACATTTTTTTAACTCTTACGTACCTGTTCTATATACGTCTATAAGTCCGCAATCAAAGTAATTGTGTTTTCACCGAAAGAAAGTGATCAAAAATGAGACGTCGATCAAAAAGCCTCGCGTTTGTAATACGTAGACGAGAAATTTGTTAGGCACGAAACTCTCGAATCGTCCCTTTTTTATATGATACGCTGCATCGAATCCCACATAATAGATAAACGTGATTAGAGATTAACAAATAAAAAAATAAATAAATAATATAAATAATACTTTGTCTCGGCGCGCGTCCCGCCAGATTCTGTACTTTGCTGTGCTGTCACATGACATTTTAAAGAGATCGATGTAACTAGATCAACCAATGTGATTCTGTGGCTTTAGTATCCTCTCTATTTGCATTATATATATACCTATTGAAAAATCAGCGTTTTGAAATTTAACGCTAAATTCAATGCTGATTATAGAGATGACGCGTGGATTTCCTATAGATCGAACACGGACTTCCTTTCCTTTAGTCTCAAGCTATAGAATGATATTGATTGTGAATTTTTGATAGACTCGTAGGGCATTTAAGAATCCACATATTAGATTATAACGGGAACCGATCTGTAGAATGTTAAAAATTAACGTCTGTGAGATAGAGATTGTTCGTCTGTAAGTTCCATAGTTTTTCATGATTAGGATGTAAGGATTTCTATTCTAATATATATTAATGTGTTGGGCAAAGAAATATTGACTTCTCGAGAGTAGTGCGGGATCTTTTGCTGAGAGATACGAAATGTGTGTAATAATGTATATCTACTTCTCTTCTTATCGGCCAAGTCCTACAATTTAGATTATATACAGACAAGAATTGTCGTCGCCTAGAATACCTCCTAAATCTCCTAAACCAAAAATGTTTATTCGACGAATTTAAGAAAATCGCGAATAATGTTATTGAATTATTCTTCTATCTTTGATTCATTTACTTGCGTACAATTGCAAAAGGACATATCAAGCCTTCAAAATTTTCGGTGAATAATTAAAAAAATGCAAATTATCCGCTTGCTTTTCGGAAATATATTTTTCATGCTTTGCATTTTCTCTTTAAACTTTATACTTTTAATCACAAATTTTGCTGAACACTATCAAATCGTGTATGCATAAAAATAAATCGAACACTATATAATCTACAGCAGCAAAGAGCCAATAGCGCAGGGAAAGTTTATAAAAATTTTTAAATTTTCATTAAAAAATGATAAATCTGTCAAAAAATTTAAGTGTCGTAAAAATGTAAATTTCTTCAAATTGCTTCCACTAATTAATTAATTAGAAATTCTCTTTTTTTTTTAAACAGTGTATATAGAAATAATCGAGAAATCCATGAGAGTAAAAACTACTACATAATTTTAGCATATAAAAGAAAAGTTAATTATTTTCGCTATATTACGATCGATTGCACTTTGTATATGAGAAGTCGAATGCAAGATTGTTATTTGTGTCATCTTATACACAGTACGTTGTCTACTTTTCCTTGTCACAAAAACCTACGATTTCAATACACGTACAGTTGTTACGTAAAATCAAATTACGCGATTATTAATTAAGCACATGCGACTGAATAATCAATTAAAGGAAAAAAAGGGGGTAAACAGTAGGATGCACATACGTTCGTAAATGTATAGTTTACTCGTAGAGGACGTGTGCGGCTTTATATAATACCGGTGCGTTGTATATTAGAACAAGTATACATACATACATACATACATATATACGGCAGACCGATATTGTACGAAATAAACGAGTTAATTTACGAGCATTGTTATATATATGTATGTTATGATATATTAACTGATAAAACCAGGGTACATATTAAAAAAAAAAAAAACTATGTATATGTGTAATACGTTTACACGCGAGCATCCCATCGCACACGTGAATAACGAAACAATTATTATTGTGTACTATAAAATTACGTGTTCGGCGGGACGTGTGAAATAAAAAAAATAAATAAACGTATTTCACCGATTTTTTTTTACCGTCGGGCACAATACGAAACATGTAAATGTATATTTATTTAGAGGAGGAAAAAAAAGTAGCGTTGCGTGTGTATGGTTGAAAATATATATTATAATAGAATATAAAAGAAAAAAAAGAGAAGCATAAACTCGATACTAGACTGTCGTAGATTTATTATTAAAACTTATTATTATCGTTCCTGCCTATTCGCGCAATCTTTGACTGCAATATATTGTAAACACGTCGGACCAACGTCGTTGTGAGCAAATTAGCTGTAAATTTTCACACCGTTACAGCCTCTCGTCGTCGAGCACCGTCACTTTGCAAAAAATAAAAAAAAAAGAAAAGGAAAGAGGAAGGAAAAACATAGTACGCTAAAAAAAACGTACGATGTTTGACCTTTTTTTTCTTGCCAAATCACAAAATTAGATTCCATGTTCATATATCATATTGATATATAAAATATAAATGTCTCTATCGATGCTAGCTATATAATGCACATAGCTATTATATATATATAAAAATATATCGTATATATATATATATATATATATATATATATATATATATATATATTAGAGAAAATTATCTTTTAATCGAACGTAACTTATCCGTGTGTATTTAAAAAAAAATACGATGTTTGCTTTGAAAATAAAAATAAAAAAAACATATACACAAGTTTTACGCAACCGAAGATAGTATATAATGCAGAGACAGGTGCTCGGCTCTCCAGGTATAATAATATATATTCTAGGCTTTTATTCGTAGAATTCTCGTATTTTATACATATATATAAATACATATGACGCTCACATCGACAAGGCTTGTAAATGAATTTCACCGAGATGATCTCTCGAGACAGTAAAATGAATTTCGAAGAAAAAAGACATTTTCTTTAAAAAAATTATTTTTCGAAAAATTCGGATTTTTTTTGGATTTGGCTTCTGGGGGTAATCTTTTTTTCGATGCCTTATTGGAAAATGCAAAAAAATTGTCATTGATTCAAGCAAAAAAAGAAACACGTATATATTTATCGGGATTCTAAACGACATCATTTATTATCTGCGACTACGTGATTTTCATCTCGCAATTGCGAGCAAATTACTATATACTTGTCATGGTATATGTGGTATTAAACACACCGACGAGATAATAACATTAACGATAACAATTACAAAATAAATGTTGCCTTTTGTCATATTGGTAAATGGTAAAATGAGCAAGATATACTAATAAAAAAAATTATGTGCGATTAATACAATGTAATATATATATAATCTATTGTATTATATAAGTATATATACTAATACCGCGCGGTCACGCATTAATTATGTACAACGTCGTGGAGATTATTTCGTATGATTGTAAATGATATGTGTGTTGCGTTGATGTAACGCGCCCCTATATTGCAGTAGGGCTGTGAAATAAATCAACCAGACACTTTGCCGGTCTTCTTGTATATGCAAATCCCCCCAAAAAGCGTCCAAGGACTATTTAACCGGAGCAGGATTATGTAAATGGATTGTCTCATTTTTTATATAAACATGTGCATGTGGAATCGGAATATTCTTTATTCTTAACTTGCGTATTATATATGATTTCAATCACAGTACAAATATTACTTTCACACAAACGAAGATCGATATGCTGATTAACGTCATGTCCGATACTTATTCATCGATTGGTATTTATAGAAAAAAATTCGATGGTATATATATATAATATTCTTTTTTAAATGAATCCGATATACACATGCGCGAAGAAATATAGACAAACTTTCTGAATAGTCTCAAAAATCGCTGTATCGTCAAATCTACATCTAGATGATATTTTAAGAAGTAGAGCTTACGGAACTGTTATTTTGTGCTACTTTATGAAGCACATTGGTTTGCATTGAGGAAGCAACTAGTTCAGGCATAGGTGGCACGGTGCTGTTAGACGGCACGTGAAAGAAATACAACATAAACCCTGCTGCCAGTAGTAAATGCATACCCAAAATTACTATGCCTAAAATAATTATTATGATTAACATCATGTTTACCTAAAATCAATTATATCTACTTATTTCGCCTATTAACATAACACGCTTTTTGTATTCATATTTATATTAATTCTACATTAACTTATTGGACTTATTAAATTTTTTTGTAGTATCTATGTATTTTAATAATAGTGATATATCTTTTACCTGCAATCACTGGCAACAACGATCGTAGCAAAACTCCCTCCAGATAGCAAAATGTTGCTAGTATGACTAGACTCCATTGCAACCAACCAATTTGAATTGTCCATAGAAAAGCTACCGGAACGTAAATGCTTAAGGAGTATCCATATAAACATAAGAGTTCTAAAAGTCCTGGGGCAGCATAAGACTGAAAAACAAAGATCAAGTGTTAATATAAAAAATGATCAAAAGATAAGCAAAGAGGAATATTGTATAACAAACCTCAATTAACTCCTCTTCAGTATTTCTTGAACCGTAAGTCCATTTTAATGCACCCCATAGGGCTAACGGTAGAAGCCATGCATACAAAAATATGCAAGTGGCTGCGTATGAAACGACATGAAAATCATACTTCCAATGATATTTGGCGGAACTGGCAGTCTGTAAATAGTTTGCCATATTCCCGCTGATTGCAATGGAGAATACCAAAGTCACACATATCCAAAAGGGTCCGTACAAATCTGGATTTGGTCTTATGTGCGTTATAAGATAATTATCGCTACCATGTGGTACCATGGATCGCTTAAGCCTTTCCACAACATCGCTTGTATTGACATTGAAGAACTTTTGATAATATTCGATCGTCCAAAAGTTAGGTTGAGAAGTACCTGAAAAAAATAGATTTTGTTCAATTTAAATTCCATATAAATTCCATACACATTAAAACGATATTTTTTTTTTCTCCATAAAAAATAGAATAGAAATTTTTCTAGAATTATGAACCTTCAGTTTTATTGGGAATTCCCTGTAGATCTTCGACGATGCCGATACCCGTGGAATCGTTTGACAAGTTATGGAAAGGCTGATGAGTCGAAGTCCCAGTGTTCAGCTGTCCATCAGGATTGTCTGCATGGCTCATCGATGGGAAATCGTGGAATGATATAAATTGCGAATCTGTGTTTTTCGTTGGACCACCATCCATGATTTAATATTTAACGTAAACTTCCTCTTATCCTCGATTTGACAAACGCCATGTATACATCGCAAAAACATATGTATTTGACGTCATCACAGAATTGAAACAGTCACGAAATGTGAATATTTAGATACGATACTTCAAGCTCCAAATGTCAAACAATCTATTTTATCGACAGTTGAGACTATGCAGTTCTAAAGCAGATGGAGTTAAAAAATGAAATGGCACTGTTTCTCTCTGTTCCAACTATTTTATCGCGAATCTGGTATCTGAACAGTCACCAGTTAACCACGACGCGTTTGACGTTGATGACGTTATGTCTTAATATTTTTCTTACATTCATGCGGCGAATATGACTATTGACAGTTCGAAGTTCTGTCATTATTAGATTTAAGACAGTTCAGGCTTTGCTCATTTTTTAATTAGTTTATTGTTAAATCCTGGTTAAATAGAGCAGTATTGTAGCTGTTCAACATGATGTATTTACTGTGAATAAATTTGATAGAAGGAGAAAAATGTATAATTTAGGGTACGTTTTGATAAATATATTCAATTTACAATTGTACATTTTTGAAAATATTTTGTCGCTTTATATATAATTAAAAATTCATCATTTTTTTTTATAAGAATAATATTGTTTAACCAAATTTATTCTTTTGTAGATAGATAGTGATGCATATCTCTAGGACAAGATCTTTTGTATAAAGGAGGAGAAGAAAGAAAGATGTATCGATCCTATAATCATCTGAATTTTATTCGAAGTATAACATGTAGATATCATGCCGATCAGTTATGCATATTCCAGATTGGATTAAGTAAAAGACATGCCAGTATTTTAATAGTGCCCAAGTATGGTGCGCAATGCAAAGTACATGTGCTTTCATATTCTCAAAATGTCTTTGCTAACAAAAAGATAGACAAGCATGAAAATGGCAGATGGATCAATCTAGCAAGGTTTTTATCTGACAATGCAAAGAGTAAGAAGGATGACTCTGAAACGAAATTGGGTCAACAAGTTCAGCAGAAAATAATAGAATTAAATGAAGACAAACTGGGCAAATTAAAAGAGAGAGTGTTAGACATAAAACCAATTGATTCTAGTGATGATAAGGAAAAGGAGAAAGAAGTGACTAAATTTGCTGAAAGACAATCTGCAGAATCCAAAGAATCATTGAAGGACGATGTTCTATCGAAGAAAGGTATGGCGTATTTAAATATTGATTTATTATTATATATTAATGAAACTAATTTCTGATATTTGTAGCGAAAAAGAAAATCAAAGTCGATAAATCGACATCTTTGGAACGTAATTTTATTACACCTGTGAAAGCTATGTCAGATTTTTTATTAAAGCCTTCTGATTTGGAATCTTTACCAAAAACAAAGAGACGTTCCCCATATGAGTTTGAACCACCTATTACAGTTTATTGGAGGAAAGATGTTGAGGCTAAGTAAGAGAATTTTGTTCATACTATTTAATTAATAAATTCTTCAATTCTTGTATACATGTGTTACAATTGCAAATGCAATTTAACATTAAAGATTTATTTATTTATAGAGCTCTAGAAGTTTGGGGATCTCGAGAGGCTTTGCTGAAAGAACTTTTGAAGAAAGAAGTTGAGCGAAAGATTTATCAGCAGAGTAAATATATATATATATATATATATTTTTTGTATACATAATTTTTTTCATCTTTTAGTTGTATGAAATTATTATTTCTAAAACAGAACCTTTTTCTTGTCTCTTCAAGACAAAGAATATTTAGTTAGAAGTTGTTTATCTATCTTACAAAATCATTTACATATGTCTTAATAGTAGACTTTGCATGATAGAATAATTGATACAAAGATTGAAACCTAAGCTTTTCATCACAGATGTTTTTACGGTCAAACGGAGATTGAGGGATTACAGGCGGGAAATTGGTAACAAGACAGAGATAATTCAGAAGGAAGGCCTTTTTGGAAGATCTGGCAAAGTAGTATTGACTGCAATAGCTATGTATGTATTGAATTGATGTTTATTCAGCTAATTTTACGCTTACACAATTGTAAGATTTTTTTCAATTAATCTTCCTTTTTTCCAGAAATGCTAGTAATTTCATATGTAAATTAATTGCTTGGTTATATACTGGCTCGCATAGTATGTTTTCTGAATGCATACACTCTGCAGCGGATACTTGCAATCAACTAATTCTAGCCTATGGTATTCATAAATCAGTGCAGGTAAATCAAATTATTTTAAATACTTGTAGGAGATCCCTTGAGAGCAGTTTTATTAATCATCCTAATAAATTTTACAGAATCCTGATCCCGATCATCCGTACGGTTACACAAATATGAAGTATGTTTCTTCATTGATATCAGGCGTGGGAATCTTTTGCGTTGGCACGGGTCTTTCCATCTATCACGGGATTCATGGTCTTCTGTTTCCCGCGCCGTTCGAATCTCTTTTTTGGGCATACTTTGTCCTAGGAGGATCCTTGTTGTCGGAAGGAGCGACTTTAATGATAGCATTGCAGTCTATTAAGAGAGGCGCACAGGAGAAGAAAGAAAGCTTTAAACAATTTGTCTTAGAAGGGCAGGATCCGTCCGTAAATGTCGTGCTTATGGAAGATTTTGCAGCTGTAAGTATTATTATTGTTTCACATTTTCTCCTAACTCTAACATAATATATATTTGATGCGGAGTCCTTTTATTTTAAATTAATATTAATATAAAATATCTTGCTAGTAATTTTAAAGATTTTTTAATTAGTGAGAGAAAACGATTGTTGAAAAAATATTTAACAAAAATTGAAAGTTCAAAGTAAATTATGAAAGATTAAAATATAGTATTTTATATATTCTTGGAAAAATTTCTAATCCTGATGTCACATAGGTACTTGGAGTTATCGTCGCAGCGGGATGTATGGGTTTGACTTCATATCTGGAAAATCCAATGTTCGATGCCTTTGGTTCGCTTCTGGTGGGCGGTTTACTCGGTGGAGTGGCATCCTTTATAATTTATTCGAATGTTGCTGCGCTTATAGGAAGGAGTATATCACAGGAAAATTTGGATAAAATTAATGCCGAATTAGAAGCGGATATAATGGTAACGTTATGCTTAAAATATTATCTACAAAATTAGCAGTAAATATCCAATTTTTTGAATGTATTAATTTTTATGCATTTTTTTGCCAAATTTAGGTACGTGCGATTCACGATGTGAAAGGCATCGACATGGGTAATCATTTGGTACGATACAAAGCTGAATTAGATTTTGATGGACGAGAACTCACAAGATCTTATCTAGACAAACATGATCTTGTTACAATGCTGGAGGTATAGACATGATTTCCATTTTTACTGAAAGCCGTATATAATACTTAATACTATATCATTGAATATCTAATCTCTCATTTTAGGAAGTAAAAAGTATGCAAAATATCGACGAGTTAGAAGCGTTTTTATTGAAACATGGTGAAAATATTGTAGATATGCTCGGTGGAGAAATTGATAGAATAGAATTAAAGTTAAAGGTATGTATATATATTTCAACTCACAATAATTTATATGTTATTATTAATAATAATTTAAAATTGTTAATAATTTTCTTGCATTTTCAGAAAAATCATCCAGAAATACGACATTGTGATTTAGAAATTCTATAAAGATACCTGATGGCATAGAATAATTTAATTTAAATCTAAATTATAAACTTTCTCTTCTCTTGCTCCTTTTCCTATAGATGTACATTATTATTTATAACCTCTTTCAATCCTAGACGTAATTTTAATATAGAAATGATTTAAACAAAGTGATTATACTTTAAGATAGAAGTTATTTCATTTTGTTTCAGAGAAAAATCACTTTTTGTAAATGTTTTATAAGTTATATACAGCTGTACAGAAGGATTATTACATACCATTCAGTACAATAAAATCAATAGAAATTTCTTATAAATATTGTAATATATGTCCCACGCTTTAAAAATTAAAGTAAAAATTTCCTCTGATGATCATATATCTTTTTACGGGGATAAAAGATCTTTTACAAAAAGAGAAGAGTTTAAATAATAAAACACAAATTATTTGTATCGTAATAAAATTGTACGATTTTTTTTTATTAATTTCAATATTCTGTTAAATGAATGAAATAATTTTTCATTGATAATTTCGTTGCATTGATTTTTCGAGCTGGTTTCCACAGAGCTTCCTAGACACAACAAAGCGTTACTACGAACGCCTCGTGACAGACCTCTGGATGGCTCCGAGACAGTCGCGCAGCGATTAGCTACAAAGAAAGGTGGTTCCTAATACAATCGTACACAATAGATATCGCGCAAATGCTTTTCTGAAGAAAAATTCGAAAGACTTGCATGTGAAATTGATTACGATACGAATCGCGAATCGGCAGAAAGACAGTTGAACGGGTGATGCATGAGGATCTAAAATGACACGCGGAAATCGAGCTTCCCATAAACGAAGATCTACAATGGTTGAGCGAAATGACAGCGACGACGATGCTTCCGGTCACGCTGTGAAAACGACAGCTACGTAAAACGTGATAACACACCATTGCAGAAACGACCGACCAGCTCAGAAGATTCCGGTCGACCCTACAAGCGGGAAATTAAAGTTTGTATTATTTGCGAAGCTAAAATTTTCTACATTTTTTAAAACATGATAAATTACAAATCAATTATATCAATTGTAATAATTTAATTACAAATTATGATTAATTTCGGATTTACATTGGCACTACATTTTTTGCTGTCGAAACAGATAGCGTTTTCAATTTTTGGCGAATCTCTAATTGGTCTTTTGCTTGAAAGACACTAGATAATTTGACAAATTAAAAAAAATGCATTGCCATTGAATTCTTCATTCAATATCTCAGAGTTTTTTCGAGAAACAAGACAACACCGAAGATACGGAAAGCGTCTCTGAATCACCGGATCTTAAGAACAATGATAAGTCTCGCAGAGCTGAAGTACATGTTCATGGAAAAGCGCGTTACTCTGACATTCGCGAAAGTGAGGACAGAATTACATCGAGATCTCTTGAGGGAAGGAGGAAACGTAGTAAACGGATCGAACGACGAAAGCTTCGAGAACGGCCTCACACGACAGATCGCGATCACGATCGGACCGATACCGGATCTTCTATAAAGCATTATAGTGGAGAGGATAGTTTCACCGATAAATCGCGAAAAAGAAGAAGTATCGCTTCCCGAGGTAAATATATTTTATATCCTTGCGAGAACAAAAACTACAAATTGATTCGAAAAAATTGCCAAGATTCCAGCATCTTCTGTCGAGAGTTTACACCGATTTTGAAAAGATCTGATACAGTGTGAAAGAGGAATAAATATTTTAATATTTTTTTAAAGGCTGTTAAAATTTTGCGCTCAATGAAATATTATATTTTAATATTTTTTCCCTGCAACAGTGAAATCTAAAATTAATAATTTTCTACACAAGCGAACGATCACGAAGTGCCTATCACGGAAATCTTGAAGAAAGCCCAGGAAAATGCGCGCACAAAGTATGAGGAACCTGTGCCGCTTCCGGAATTGACTACGGACACAATTTATATTCAAGGCAGGAATGGCTTTAGCGCCGTGAAAATTGCCGGATCGAGACGTGCCTTGAGAAATGATACGACGCGTGCAACAGAGGGTAGAGAAGATCGCGATTCCGCAGAGACTCAAATGCACACACTCATAAAAGTGGCAATCACGGCTCAGAAATTTTGGCGATGCACGGGACTCGTCTATCAAGGTCTCCTGGGCGGAATGGCACTCTTGCATTTCATTATGGTGAGGTATTCTTCGTTTTAACTCTTCAACGCCGAGGATTGTCCGATCCGATATTTACGTTCGCTTCAAATGTCATCCGTGTACTTCTTTGTCCGATTTGCAGATTTACATCTTCTTCAATACTTCGACGGAATTCATCTCGAGTTATTCGATTTTTTCCGAAGTCTATACAAATATATTTTCCTTCTTGATCGCCCTCTGCGTCATCTCCGTCTTCGACAAGTATACATCCTCGATACTAAAAAAAAAGAAAAAAATTCTAAGTATTGCAAAATTTTATTTTAGGAAATATTTTCGATTCCAGATTCGATGTGGCGCGACTCGATATGGATCATTTGCGTGAGATTTATATGGATCATGCAAAAACCGCGATCGCCGTTCCACTTTATTTAATAACGTTTAGCCTTCATCAAGCGTCGTTGAAAATCGACGATCAGTTAGCTTTGATACATTATCGCGAAATGAATGGAACTACGTGGTCGAACGTAAGCACATCGCAATTTAATTAACCAGGAATTATACATAAAAAAATTCTCAATCTCCACATGTATAATTAATAATTTTCCAGAACACAGCGCGAGAAACTTTACTCGAAGAATTAGAGGGTTGGCAGAAGATAACGATGTCAAAAGACCTTCTCGCGGTTTTCGCTTGGCTGTTCATTGCTCTCGGAACGCGAGATGATATGCTACTGATGCATCTGGAATCGATGGAGCAATATGCGAGCAACGCGGAATTTCCTAGATGACGAAAGTCTCAAAATTCTTTCGCGCGACTGTACAGACTGAATATCGTAAAATATCGAAATATATATCTTAAAGAAATAATTATTTTCCTGAATGTATGTAATACATACCGAGTCGATTCAGGATGCGGAAGATCGTCGAATTTATATATGATATAATATTCTGTAGAAAGAGGGCACAAATACGATTTAAACATTTATTCCGTAACAGAATAGCGTTTGATATGTACAATATGTATAAAGTTCTTCTAGACGCTAATCGATAATACATGTATACATAATAGCAAAGAGGACAATAATATATATATATATATATTAAGATTAAAATAACATATGATGTAATGGTACAGTAGTAAAATATGTCTGAACTTTCTCGAGCGCGCAATTTCGGTAGAATCCGCAATCGCAAGGATGTTCAATTATCGACGACTAATTATCAAATAATTTATATATCAAAATTTGTTACGGGACACGATAGAGACAAAAAGAGAGATGAAAATCGTCGAAAAGTATATAGATTTTCGGAAATTTTTCGTAGTCTGCGATTGCGGATTCGAGCGGCGCGTTTCCGTTGTACGAGAAAGAAAAGCGTTTATTTATTATAAATAATGTGCAAAGGCTTGTACTCATTTGCGAAGCAACGGATAAATATATACATGCCGTTCGTGTGTGAAATTTATTACATGACTCCTAAAGTCTCTCTTCACATTTTCTCCGTTTTTTTTTAAACAATTTACACCGTCACGACGTTATTTTCTTTCATTTTCTTTTTCTTTATACGCGTATTCTAAAATATCTCTGAGCTTAACAATATCATCAAGGCACAGGTTTACAGTTCTATCCGATGTCTAAATCGATTTTTTAGACTTGTCTTCGCTGTCGGAGATACGGGATCGCGATCCATCATCGAGTTTACGACGGATGATTACCCGATTATTTATTCATCGACGCGCGAGAGAGACGAAAGCAAAAAGGTGTAACTCTTGAACTCGATGACACGCGATCCGATCGCAAGAAAATTGACATTACTCGACCGAATCAGATCTTATTGTTCGCGCGGGAGACGTCACGTGGTTTGGTTTTTCCCCTTACGCGCGAAAGAATAATTTCTTCTTTTATTGCAATGCACTCTAATCGGTACTTATTGTTAGTAAATCGTAATTAAATATTGTGCAAATTCGCAATGGCAGTATCGAGTGAAATCGGCGCTTTCGCGAAAAATATTATATTATTACATTCGAATTTCTTTTTTCTTCTAAGAGATTACATATTTAATGTCACGACTGACAGTTGCGTTGTAAAAAAAAAAGGATCCAAGTTCGTATATGTTTTTAATATTCGGGAGAAAATATACTCTCTCAAACATCCCGTTGACAGCAAGAACTACAGTTTCGAGCCAGTCGTGAATTACGCAGTCTCGATTGGCTCCGTATCGATCAACAATTTTCAGTCGAGAAAATTTTACTGGTCCAGCGTGCGCACATGCCATCTGTATGCGCACATTGCTCGTTTATCAAAATTGTTTACGTCTTGATGTAATTTCTTGCGTACGAAACCGTCGCTTTAGAAAACACCGAAAAAGCTACAAGTAACTTTTTAAAATTTATATCGATATTGCTCTCTCCTGGGCTGATAGAAATTCCGAAATCGTACAATAAAGTAGATACCATTACAAAATACACGGGAAGACGAAGAAGAGTAAAATCGATCGACTTTAAAAGTCGTCTACGTGATACGCATCTCGGTACTCATCCCTTTCCTTGTATTTCGTAATGGCATCATTTTTCAAGATTAATTTAGATCGATTTTTAAATCTCGATGCACTGACAGATAATATTTTCGACGACGAGAGAAAAGTATCTTAATCCCTTAAATTGGATCGATTTTTATACCTTATATTTTCGTGTGCCTTTTTTTATATCTTTCACTTCCTCTTCCAATTGTTCATTTCGCTGAATCGCGGGAAGCGAGACGAGACGAGAAAAAACGGCATCGCTTCTTATTCGCTACCTCGAGTTTCACTTGTTGATACCCTTCTGACGGCCTAGGGGGGGAGGGAGTCGCAAATGAAGGTCCGCGGACCGGTCCCTTTCATCTGAACGTTCCCGCGGCTGTAATCGCGCGTTCTCCCACCCCTACTCCGACGATCAAACGGACTCCGAGTTGTTCTGCATGTATCTGCACCACGACTGGCCGTTATTATTGCCCTCTGGGCAATGAAGCAATTCTCAGTCATCGAAGTCGTGTCTGAGCTTTATGTAGAGGCAGGAACCGAGAACGATGCCGAAGAGCTCGAGGACCGACAGGCCGAGCCCGACAGCGCCCAGAATTATCAGGTGGTCCTTCGTCGTCTCCAGGAACTTGTAAATGCAGCCCTAGAGCAAAGAGTTTAGAATTATTCGTCGATTCGCCGCCTTGAATTTCGAAGAGATGAAGACTCAATTTCTGTCTCTCAAAATGCGAATCTATACAGTAGGAAAATTTGTGTCTTTCTCTTGTTAAAAATGGTCCTCGTTCAAATTTTTGTGTTAAATATTTTAACATATTTATGTGTTAATTTAACATAATTTAACACAATGTGCATCTATTTTTAATTTTACATAATAAATATGTTCTTTTTTTTATTAGTGAGAAGATTTATCTGTTAAAGTTTACAGGAAAAATGTTTATTTTTTATTTTATAATATAAGTGAGGATAATAAAATCTAAAATTAACATAGTTTTAGTTAATTTTAACATTAAAACTCTTAATTTTACACAAAATTTATTTTAAATTACTTGAAGTATTGCATTTATTTTGTGTTAAAATATTAACACATTTGTGTCTCCGTTTAACATATTCATATTATGTTAAATTAACACAAATTTTTCAACTATGTGCTAATTTTAAAGTTAAAAAAAAAGTACAAATTCGTAAATGCGACTTTTAGCTTCTCGTCATTTTACGACAAACGTCAGATATCCAAAGTTATAATTCCCAAAGGAAATATATCCTATATCGAACGCGCGGCATTCAATCCGGACTAATATCGCGTCTGATAATCAGTCGAGGAAAGCTAGAGAAACTCGTGAAGCCGTGCTGGAGACGTACTGTGTATTGAATATTGGAGGGATGATCCCTTTTCCCGCAAAGTAACGTCGGCGTCTTGCAGCAGCTGTCAGGTACGACGCTACCGTTCCTAAGGACCTCCTCGTCCTTGTGCCACTCGCTCACGACCCAGTCCTCAAATCTCAAGGCACCGCAGCATTTGAACTGCAAATTTCAATAATAATGTCTTCGGTAATATTGATCGAGGAAGTGGATAAATAGTTGTCTTGTCACTTCCTTTATGTAAATCATATTTTCTTTCAATCAGCTTAATGCCGCAAGGAAATTTCAATTATTTAGGAAATAGAAAAAAACTCAATAATCATAATTTTTTATTTAAAAATAAATTCTAAGTTTATAAATTTTATTTGAATTATCAAACTTTATTTCTTCAAACAATTATTCCAATTATTCTTAAAACTCTTGTGAAAGCACGAGTTCGTTCCGAGTATGAAAGATGTTTTAATTTTTGTATAGAAGGATAGTATCCGTATACGTGTATCATTTTATTGAAATAACCAACATACTAGAATTTAATTTTTAATATAGATAAATAATTTAATTTTCATATTAATAAAATATTACAAAAGTAAATTATTATATTTTAAATAATATGTTATCACAATTTTTAAACTGGATTAATATCTGTGATAGTTAGTCAGCTGATATCTGTCAAACGATATTATTCGCGGATTATAACATATTATTAGTTTAATACTATTAACATATTATTTCAAAATTTAATTAGCAAGTTAACGCTTTATTAATATTTTTTCACGGATATCATCCGATTAAAGCGTTAATTTACTAATTAAATTTTAAAATAATAATATGGTGTTAAAATTAAAGTACCTAGTTATATTTTAAATAATATGTTATAATACTTTAAACTCAATTAATATTTTTGAGTTATCAGCTGATTTCTGTCATAAAATATTAATCGAGTATAATGTATAACCAAAAGCGCTGACACGAATTTCGATATAATCGAGTGATCGATTTTACATACTCTTTTTAATTATGAAATGTCTTCGATGATATTATCAAAATGGAAAACATGCTCAATAATTAAAAATTTTTATGAGACATTTAAAAATAAAGTTCAAGTTTAATTCTTTTTAATTATCAAACTTTATTCACTCATTCAAAAAATTATTCTTAAAACTCTGATAAAAATACGATTTTATCCCGAGTAAGTAAAATATAAATAACATCGTACCGACGATGTTAAAAATAAATAATTTTATATCGAATATATTACATAAATAAGAAGAAAAACTAACTTTTAAACTGCCACTTAACTTGTTAGTGACAAACTCATCTTTCTCAGTCTCCAGTTCCATTCCAGGATCTGTGTAATAAAGTATACATGCAGATAAGGCAGAAAAGGGGAGTGATAGCGGCGATAACAACGATAATAGCCGCACACGATAATAACGATAGCGGGACATGTTACACGGTGAGGAATCATCGAGAGGAAAAGGGGCCGAGGAAGGATGGAGAGAAGGGCAGATTAATGGAGGTGAGAAACGTGTTCTGGCGGCAGAGCCCCAGTTAAATGGTAACTTTAATGCGGGCACGTATAATCCCATGGGAGCTATTACTCGCGATAAACATTTCTGCAGGTCCCTCGCAGAACATGCAGGCGCTTACGATCAAGACGAATTTCGTCTGTATTAAAAAAAATATTTCTTCTTCACGTATAAGTCGCCGTCCTATTTTTTCGAGAGACGCAAATTAGCTACAAATGTACAGCTACAGCTTTAGCAGTGTTATGCTTAGTTGATTTTAAAATTAGCTAGATGAAGATAATTTTGTTTTAAATATATCCAGATTATATATCTAGATAAAAAATAAAATTATATGGCGATTCATCTAAATAAAACTTCCAGATAATATTTTTAAGACTACTTATATGTAAACAGTTATAAAAAAATTATGAAAGGGATATAAAAATATATTCATATTTTCATGTGCTATAACTTTCAACCAAATTATTTGAACGTTATTCTAGATAATTTAGTAAAGATAATATTTTTTATCTAATCGTAAGATATGTAGATACAGATAATACATATTTTTATTATCTATATAAAGATAAGGGAATGCCAACACTTCATCCAGATAATCATCTATATAATTTTATTTAGACAACAGCAAACACTGAGCTTTAGAGAGGTGTCCTTGATTCAACGTTGCATTTCGTTTTTAGAACAAAGATCCTGTTACGAGCGATACGACTTTGGCAAATGACCTTGCTTGAAAATTTCAGGGAAATACTGGAAACCCTTATAAACTGGGAATACATCTGCGGTGCAACATTTGTTGCCACGACTATATAACCGCCATCAATTATTCATCACACCTCTAAAACGGAGTACTTCTTTTGAGTACGATGAAAGAAGAAAGAGGAACGAGGATCAAAGAAAAATCGCGAGAAGAAAAAAAGGGCTCGTTTTTTACACGTGTAAACAACCAACGCTGTGCATATTTGCATCGGATGCACAAAAACCAGGCGTTAAAAGAGTTGTAATAAGAACCCGGAAAGTGTGATACTCGCGATCTATTTTCAAAGAAAATGTATTTCTCTTTATTCAAGAATAATAGTATGATTTATATCAAAAGACATGCACAGAAAGTATATTCGTGACTTTATTTTCAATGATAAACAAGTATAAATTAAAAGGGAATAAAGAGAGAAAATAGAAGAATCAAAAAATAAGAGAAAATATGAATATGCAATAAATCTTTCGTAAAAAAAAAAAAAGAAAAAAGAAGCAAATGGAAGATGCGCCGAAAGATTTTTGCGCGAGTGTATATTCGCGTATGCGAGATATTTATTTCCGTTTGTGCGGAACCGCCTTAAAAATTCCCCGCTGTCGCGGTAAAACTCGATTTCCCGAACGAAATGAAATGCTTGTACACGTATATATAGAGATCCCTCGCCTTCCTCCTCGTACATATAAATAAAATGCGGATCCTCTGAATTTCTTCCGCTTGTCCGACGGTTTTTCCCCCAATTTCGATGGACGAGGGTTTAAGGGAGTGCTGAGCACCCTGAGCCGGCGCCGACGAAGAAATGGAAACGAAAATCCTCGAGGGCGGCCAATGGGATCCGCGACAGAAGGGCGAAATTGCTGGATTTAACTCCCATTTGGTCCATTATCGGCGCCGTAGATCGCGTCACGTGTGTGCTTACGAGTCCGATCCGAAATCAAGATATTGCCCTCGACATAAAATGGATTTAGGCAACAGACACGATTAATTTTCACCGGGAATGTTCGTGGCTCTGCGAGCTGTCGACTTAATCCCCGAGCGTATAACGAGAGAGAGAGAGAGAGAGAGAGCAACTTTAATCCTACGATTATATAACGATTTCAATCTGAGCATACAAATCTCCCTCGTTCGGAAAATCTTTTTTCTTTTTTTTTATGAGGTGCGTAAATAAATATATACTTGCGGGAGAAATCGCGTGAAAGCGAAGACACATTTCGCGAAAAGTGCGAATTCACTGCTAATCGATTTATAACGAATGGACCGAAACTGTGTTTCGCGATAACGATAATTTATTATTGCAAGATCGTCGCGAGGGAGGGAGATAGGGAGAGTCATAATCGACGAGAACATAAATAAAAGTCCTGTCATGTGGTATCGACGACTATATAGGGTATTCGTAAATTAATATCGTACACTGAAAAATAATTGTTTAATTAATTATAATATATATATATATATATATATATATATATATATATATGTATAATTGTGTGTGTATAATTATATATATAATATTTATTTCTCAATAACTCTTTTATAGAATCGTTTATTTGAAACTTAGAATACTGATTTGCTGTGAAAAAATATTTATTCGATATAAGAAATCTTATTTTAAAACAGATAAACATTTATTTATTTCAACCAAATGTGTAAATAAAACTATTCAAATGAATATTTTCTTTAATAACTTTTTTATACATGATTTATTTGAAACTAATAATATTGATTTGCTGTGAAAAAATATTTATTTGATATAAGAAATCCTCTTTTAAAACAGATAAATATTTATTTATTCCAAACAAAAATATGTAAATAGTACTACATATTTAAATAAATATTTATTTAAATTCAATATTTTTTTTTCCAGTGTATAATTTGGGAGTAACTTGCCTAAAAAATGTTGAGGGAAAAATGTTAAATTTACACCAATAAATATACAGATAAATTGGATATTTAAGTAAAAATTATTTAAAGAAAATTCAGTTATTAAAGGAAATCAGTGAATAAACTAGCAATAATTGCGAAAACAGCTCCTATAGATAAGACGTAGTGAAAATGAGCTACAACATAATAGGTGTCATTGCAGATGTAACTTGCTAGCCAATGATCAAGAAAACGTTGAATAGTCTATTAAAAAAACTAATGCAAAAAATTGACGGAAATACTAATTTAAATTATAAATTAAATCAATTCTTGCATGCTAAGAGAAGTACATACACAGAAAAAATTATTAAATTAGTAAATATATTTATCTGTTTTGAAAAAGATTTTCTAATATCAGATAAATATTTTTTCACCTCAAATCAATATTATTATAGTTTCAAATAAATGATTCGAATTCAATAAATTTTTTTTCCAGTGAATTATCTGAATCTCTGAATCCCTGGGTGATTAAAAAGAATTCTCCTTGATTCTAGAACACCCTCTATTTGCCGTGACGATCGTATTACGTATTGACGAGCCATACGAAACGTTTTCAGCAAACACTCAACGCGCTCCCGAGTGTCATATTGCGTATTTCTACGGTGGCACATCGCGACGAGAAACACACTATCGAGAGCTCGTATATCGACCCCGGCAAACGGAACAACGGGTCAGGAAAAAATATAAAAATGATAATGAGGGAAAAACCGATATATATCAGAAAGGAAGTTACACATTTTTATTTCGCCCGAACAGCTGATCGCAGAACAGCTGGCAATGGAGAACCGCGTTGAGAAATGGATCAGAAATTTCTGCGGACGGGCTGTCGTACTCACTTCTTTCTGCATCTGGTCGATGGCCACGGTTTCCCGAGATCGTACGGCGTAGTTCTCGAGGAAGGTGCGGTTCAAATTCATCTTCAATTCGGGGCCGACCTGCTCCTCGTAGAGACGCGCCAGCGCGCCGACCCCGGCTTCCAGAACCAGCACCGCCATCACCACGAAGACATACTGTAATGTTGAAGAAAAAAAAAATAGAGAACGAAATTAGAATTCGGTTAAAGGCAACATATAGCCCTATTCGCGATTACGCGCTTTTACCTTTCTCTCTATTAACGTTTCCTATCTTGGTTTTAACGAAGGAAACACGACGAGAGAGAGAAAGAGAGTTAAATGAGCGTTTAATTGAATGGAAATTCTGATAAAAGCCATCGAATGAATTTTATCGGCAAAAAACGAGGGGAATAGCTTTTAATAAAAACCGGCTTACCTCTCTTCCAGTGATAAATACGCGCGTTTTTTCGTTTTTTCCCCCTATGCTCCAAAATAATTCTTCGAGAGATGACGAAGCATGAAAGAACGATTTTTAACGTGTGCGTCTTCCTTACACAATTACACGATAAAACTCGAGATACAAAAAATCTGTCAGAGTGTACCGGCGTATTTTCACGGAGGCTTTGCATGTTTCACTCGTGTAACGGTATTTATTTTTCGCTCCCTTTCAATGTTGTTTTCTCCGTAAGTCGTTTTATGCCATTGAAATCATCGACTCGTCCGAAATACAAATATCTCTCATATACGTAGAGTCTTTCATGCCGTAAAATAAAAAAGAAAAAAATCGCGTCCTCTCTGTATTTCTTTTATCAAATAAACCTATTATAAAGATAATACTGATTCCGAAATGAGCAATGTTTAATACTGTGCACTCACATTAATTTGTTATATGGATTTGCGGTGCAAATCCGGAGAGCGGACATGAAAATTCGCTCAGAGTCGTCTCTCTTTCTCTCTTGGAACAACGTATTAAAATTGCGTAATGCTCACGAAGCTTTTCAGACTTTTCATGAATATAAACCCCTGCCGAGGGACGCGCCTTGACAATCCCCTTTCCCTATGAATATTCAAACTGCGGTAACTAACTATCGCTTGTTCGTACTCTCGCAAGATTTTGCGACTCGTAGAAGACTCCTGTACAACAAGAAAAATACAAAAGCTTTTTTTCCTATTATTAAATATATCGATGATTATTAATTCTAGACTTCTTAACGCAATTTGTACATCGCGATATTATTACTTAACCCTTCTGTCAATATATCGTTTTTCGCCCTTCGATCATTAAGTATCTCCAGATATCGATTGCGTGGGTTTTATTTTTGATTATTTTTTTACACGCTGTAACAATTTTTTACTTCAGCTGCTGGACATCGAATATTCTTTCTTTCGTTATATATTGAAAAAGGTTTTCAAATAACCCGCTTGTATATTTTCTTTTGGACGGTAAGAAGCAGCATTCCGGCACATTTTAACGCTTAAAGCTGCTTTGGGTATATCCAAGTACTCCCATTTATTGACAAGAGGGTTAACTTGCGGATTGGGAATGGAGGGAATGCATTAGATCGATGAAATATTGGGTAATGCATATAATGGCGAAGAGGAGGAGAAGCTGAGAGGAGCCGACATCGGCGGCTAATTTGTGATCAATTCCCGATGTCGTTGGGAATTAAGCTGTATCGCGAGGTAGGCAAACGATGCTTTCGCATAGGCACTTAGTTATCCTGACCTAATGCATCCATGCAGCGGCGAAAGTGTTGAACGGCGTGAACGGGAAGATTGATGAGGTTTGCAGAAAATGATTTATATGTATTTTAAAAAAGAAGGACGCTTCTTTTTTTAATCTTCCAACATCATTTATACGCTTTTCAGCTCTGCGTCGTATTTCCTGAAATATTCCACGTTTTATCGCGCAATTGAACCGTCTTAAGGTCACGCAGAAAAAAACAGTATCCTTGAGAGAATGCAAATATGCCTTGATTCAAGTATATTTTATCCTTATAATAGCGTCAAATATAAATAATTTTGGATAAAGGATAATTTATCCTTAAAACAAAGTGCAAAATATTCTTGGTTGAAGCTGAAATTTACTTTATAAATATTGCAAGGACAAGTGACAAGTGTGCATCGGATATAAGCGGTACTTTCAAATATATATAATAATTCTTATGTGACTAAGTTTGTTTTTACCATATGCGATTTTTCAAACAAGAATATATCTTAATTTATTATTAAGGCAAATGAAAATTTGTGATTACAAAGAGCATTCTATGCTTAAATCAATCAAATAGCGTTCGAGAATAAAAATATACTTGAATCAAGGATTCCTTTTTTTCTGTGAAAAAGTATATATATTTTTATAAGTCATTGTATCTTTTCCTAATCCAAATCATTTCTCAAGAAATCTATCGATTTTTTCCCGATATTCCGAATTTTTTCTAAAAGAGTAACAGTACAATCTGTGATTTTTTCGGATTGAAGAGCACAGAAAAAACAGTATTCTTGAAAGAATGCAAATATGCCTTGATTCAAGTATATTTTATTCTTATAATAGCGTCAAATATAAATAATTTTGGATAAAGGATAATTTATCCTTAAAACCAAGTGCAAAATATTCTTGGTTGAAGCTGAAATTTACTTTATAAATATTGCAAGGACAAGTGACAAGTGTGCATCGGATATAAGCGGTACTTTCAAATATATATAATAATTCTTAGTTCAAATGTGACTAAGTTTGTTTTTACCATATGCGATTTTTCAAACAAGAATATATCTTAATTTATTATTAAGGCAAATGAAAATTTGTGATTACAAAGAGCATTCTATGCTTAAATCAATCAAATAGCGTTCGAGAATAAAAATATACTTGAATCAAGGATTCCTTTTTTTCATACTTGCGAAAAGTGTTTCCTATAGTTTTAGAAGGCTTTAAAACTTGGACAGTTTAAGCTCTTCAATTATAATCAGAATATATATGTATATATTGTAGAGAGAGACTTTGCGGAAAACCGCGCGCTCATCTTTAAAGCTGATTAACAGCGTGTTCTTTCCGATCTCCTTAGATCGCCTTAGATCGGACGGAGGGAAGCTTTCAAGTCAAACGTGCACGATGTGAAATTAGAACAGCCGAGAGTTAAGATGATCGATCGGGGCTTCCCGCAAAGTTTCCTCTGACGGATGACGCAATAACTAACGTATAAAATTCGTAATATATTAGAACGAGCAAACCAAGCGACTCGTACTTCGGGCTGAATGCGCTCGCCGAGTTCCATCTTCGTAGTCGTTAGTCGTCGGTATCCGTTTCAGTCGTTAGAGAGTCGCAAAGAGAGAAAGCGAAGGAGGAGGAGATAAAGGCGGACAGAGATGAACACAGATCGCAACACTTCCGCTTCCTATATCCCTTCGGCCGGAACCCAAATGCGTCGGAATACATCGAGAGAGAGAGAGAGAGACCTACATGTACTACCTAAGTGTGTATACGTACATATTAGTACCTAAGTCAATAAATCGCCCCGGGTATATATATTATGGCGGCACACACGGAGAGGGTAGGAATGGCAATCGACAGTTTGAGATTGGTGAGGAGGCTGACAGTGAACGGAAGAGACGATAGATCAAACATACCAATTGCTTTTCCACTATATGGCTGACACACACATATGCACACATATACATATATATATATGCGATGATTTCGTGGCAGGGAGAAGGGAAACTAGTGCTACGTCCTCGGATAATTGTTAGAGACAGATGCTTTGTCGCGAGCTTAACGTGCAATCCTGGAAAACGTGCAATCTCGACTATCGAGTGATGCTTGTAAAATACGGATCGAGCTTTCGCGCAAGCTTGGATTTACAGTGACCCAAAAAGAGGAAAAGAGAAATCAATTGCGCAGAGTAAAATTCACTTTTATCGAATATTATTTTATCTATCACTGCAATTATGAGGACTTTTATTGAGGAACGAGTAACTCGAATTAAATAATGTTTTTTTATCATTTTTTAATCAGCAAAGATATATATATATATTAATTTCTTTTTCATAATATCCAACATATAAAATATTGTAAAAGTGCGGAGCCATATAATAAATTTGATCAATGTTTTTAATCTTCCGAATAGCGTATTCTATATCGTATAGTGCAGCAAGATAAACTTCGTCTTCGGATTACCGTCACGAGACATTGAGAATGGAGTTTAAGCCGGTCATGGTTCTTGGACTTAACACGGGTCTGTGATGGAAACACGAGGAATCACGGGATTATTGCGAATCGGAACGGAGAAGACGGATCATGAATATACGAACTGCTACATTTGTCAACTGCCAAATGTCAATTATAACTAATGCTCCCGTAAAGATTCTAATTGCAGATATAACCGCACGTTATTATACGTTTATTCACAAAATTCATTCATTTATATTCATAAAATATTTTTATACATTTTTTTCATAAATATTTTTATAGGAATTTTTCCATTTTATTAAATATAATATTTAAGAATTATTTATCATTTAAAACAATTGATTATTTCGATCATTATCAGACCATTCTGCATACATATTTATTATTGTCAAAATATCACTCTCTCAGATACAGAACAAATTAAAGTGTTCTATAGTAATAAAAAACCAGATACATATTTTAGATTAATCCACACATTTGAGAGATAAAATGCTCGACAATTATACTTCTCACGAATATGTTTTCATGCGTGAAAAAGTTCTAGAGCAGTTAATCTTGTCTAAAGAAACGCTGCCGATACAGAATCTGGGTGTCGATCGAGAAAAGGAAAAAAGAGGCAGACAAATGCGTTACCCAACTTTCTCCGCTTTACAGGCATAAAAGCCTCTCTTCTTTCCATAGGTTCAGCCAACTTGTGTTCATTACGTGGATTTATCTGCCTATCATCCGCAAAAATCTTAATTGAGCGCCATATATGGCGTCGGCTAATGAGACGATTCGCTTGTGCCATCCGTGTATAGGTGGTGAAAGGGGACCGAAAGGTTGTCGGGTAAGAAAGGGAGGTGGCCTTTCTTGCGCCGAGGATCGACGATAGTTTATCGCTGCTACGGCGGATTAAGCTCGTTACTTCCTCGCCGTTATTAGCAACGGGCATTTCGGGACATAAAAAAAGAAAACGAGATATATCAACAGTAGCGCATGAAAAAGGATCTATTAAGCGAGTATACGATTAAAAAAATAGAGAGACAGTTAA